TCGTGCATTGTTTCAGTCTGCAAAGCCTCGCCCCTAGAAGGACCCCAGCCTCAGAAGCGGATCCATACCATAATAGCCTTCCCAAGCTGAACTCAATGGTCCACGCATGCTCACGGCACGAATAGTGAAATCGAGACCGCACCAGACGGGAGAGATTGAGACATCGAGAGAAATAAGTAATGATATTTGATACCTATAGTAGAGTAACTCATAGCGAGATATAAAAAAAGGAAGGAATAAGCCAGATCCAAGTTCTCACTTCGCCGCCCAGGAACCAGTTCCTCGATTTGTCCCAAACCTTCATGATCACCCAAACTGCGAAAACATCAAAAAAAAAAAGAAAAAGAACGAAGTCGAACGAATGAGGGTTCGGACGAGAAGTCAGCATGTAATGTCATTATATGTCGTATAGGCACGAGGTGTGAATGCGGTTGGCATGACTGCCGAGGTATGACAGAACAATGCTGGAGATATCGGGTTGGAGGTTTGAGGGGGCGGGGTGGTTGGTCTGAAGGAATCGATGCACAACATATACGAATGTGTACCAAAAACAGTGGCGCCTGCACACCTTTATTATGTAGAATCACTGGAAAGACCAGAAAATGCTTATATGCAGGGATCAAAAGTGGCATAGTGGTAGGGGATCTGGGAGAGATCGAGTGTAGATAGCCGTGGAGATCGGCAGGGAGTTCGATCCAAAGGGTAGTTTCATCAGCCGCTAGAAGAAGGTCGGTGTTTATGCCTCCATTGAGGTACGATAACAACATTCGGAAAGAAAGCATTAGGAGCTTCTTCAGGAGAGGCTCCTTTAGAACCGTGATGTCGAACGCAGAGCACTGGTGCGGGCAAACCCGTTCCCCGACACAGCCCTATGCTTAGCCGCTGCAGCACCCGGTCGTGTATCGCGTTCTTTGGTCCATCTTGAAAAATAGTCAGCCTGAACTCTATCAAGTGTGGGGTAGATAGGGTAACGTCTTACATTCTAACCATGTAGTCATCGCCTGCTGAGGCGAACATCCCCGAATTAGCCGGATTCCATGATAATGAATTCACACAGCCCCGGGTATGCGCTTCCAGCACTTCGACGAGAGTTCCATTCTCTTTGTGCCAGATGTAAATACGAGAATCTGTGACGGGATTAGCCCAAACATCCAACAAAGGAGGGAAACCCAAAACCCACCTTCGCTCCCGCTCACAATAAAGTTATCAGCAGCGCCTCCAAAGACGCTGCGGATGACGAAATTGCCCTGTTTCTGCCCCTGGAAGCGCCGTACCACTTCCGTCGTGTTGAGGTCAATAAGCTGCAGTTGATTGTCGGCCAGATTAACAAGCAGATACCGCGAGTCCTTGCTGACAGCCACCGACGTCGGCCTGCTTTTCGTTGTAAGGCAATATTCTTCATCACGCGTGGCAAAGTTGTAAACATGCAATTTTCCCTCCAGATCCGCCGCGACTAGTCTCCGACCGTCAGGAGTCATAGTACAATCTTGTACCCTGAAACCACCATCCCAAGAGTGTAGGTTATGCCCGCGCATGCTCCAATAACAAAGTTGCGTGCTAAGATCAAGAGAAGCCGTGACGAACGTCTCCCCGTCTGGAGCCCATGCTGCAGACGTTACTGGTTGCCGATGATGATTTATGGTTAACAGACAACGGCCGGTCTGTGTTCCGTGTTAGCATTTCGAAAGGAATGAGAGCATTAAGCGGAGGATTTACCTCGACGCTCCATACGCGAGCGGTCTTATCTTGGGAGCAAGTAATGAGTTTCGAATCGTCCGGACTGAATTCGCAATGCACAACACCATCTGTGTGCTCCTTGAGCGTGTGGAGCACAGTGAAAGTATCCGTGTCGTAGAGAATCACTGTGGAATCCTTGCAGGCTGTGACCAGCCTGGTCCCATCATGCGAAAAGGAGCACCACCAGACTTCATCCCGTTGCTCGGTCAATTGAATCTCTGTCCGGAGAGGGAAATCCTTTCGATCGCACATATGGTCCGAATATAGAGAGGGAGGATTTGCCGTATTGTGATACAAACATTGGTTGATTTGATTCTGCTTGACGTGGTCTAGAAGAATAGCAAGACGATTATCCGGGATCATAACAGAAGGCGAAATGGACTCTGCAGAAGTGTGAGTTCAGATTGATGGAATGGATTTGAGTTGCGACATACTTGATAATTCCGATAATAAACGTTCTCGAGAAGAGCTTATTGGGCTGTCCCAACCAGCTTGATCGTGAAGATGCTCAGGAGGGCACATGAGGAGGCTTTTTGATTGTAAGTTAGCGGCACATTTTCTGATCAATGGGAATGCTAGGTATAGGTCCCACCTCGAAAGAGCATGTAAACGACCAATGTCATAATTGAGGGGTGTTAGTTCATGCCGGAGAACTATTAAAGCCGCACCCAGATCTCGAGCCTCCAACAGCTCCAGGAATTTTTGTTGTCGGAGATGGAAAAGCATTTCGTTCTTTTCGGCATGCTCCACTAAGACTAATCTCTCCTTGGTGGGATGCTGCTCGGTGCGACGTCCTCCCCTGCCACTATCCCGTTCATAGTGAAATGAGTGGACCAAGATTTGTTCCGCTTCAGCCCATCGCCCCTCAAGAACCGCTTTCCTGAACGTAGCAACCGCTGGGCTTTCCAGTTGATAACCGCTCTCCTTACTCAACAATGATGCCGCTCCGTCATAGCCAAGCTCGTAGAGACTCTGTATCAAGATCCTTGTAACCTCTTCCCGATCGTGACCGAAGTAGGTAGAGGAATTTAGCCTCGACTTTTGCGATCCATTTGTGTGCAAGTCTCCATTGGAGGTTGTATGCAAGGCTTGGCCGTTCATCGACAACGGAAATGCTGCCTTTTGCGATGGAGATGCAGGCGAACCGTTAAGCGTATGGGAAGAGCCATTTGTACTGGATATCCCATCGGGACGCATATTTGCCAGGCGCCTGCGCTTGGGAGATGGTGTGTAGCCCGCCGATGAGTCGTGTGGTTGAATTGCTTGATGGCCGGCCTCGCTCGCCGTTCCTCCCGCAAGACCTCCCGTACCCTCTGTTATCGGACCTCGAGAGGTAGGTGTTATACTTCGGCGACGTCGGCGAGACGATCTGGATGAGATGCCACTAGGACTTCTTGTGCCAATCTGATCACCGATGACCGAGTTACGGAGGGACGCTGCGGAAAGGCCGCTCGTGGCGGAAGTGGTGCGAAGTGGCGGCGAGGATGCGAGGGGTGGAGGGGGATCGGGGTGGTCGGGGTGGTCGGGAGCGGCGGAGGAGGGTATATATGAAGGAGGATTGTCTGCCAGTTCGAATGTTTCTGGATCTGCCCTTTCACCTGGCTCTGTTGGAGAACCAGGGGAGCAGACCTCTATCAGTGGCGGTTCACTGATGTTCGCCGAAGGTCAGTGTACTGTATGTACGTCTGCAACCTTGTCACGAGCCTCAGTAGTCTACCAATCTGCTTGTTGCAGAGCGTCTGTTAGTTATAATCTGTATCACATGGCGTTCAGATGAGCTCTGCCATGCGTGCTGGTCGAGAGCCAAGTGCTTCTTACAGTAGACAAGCGGAGAGGGCTTATCGGGCTTGGACGGGGGTTAACTGACTGCTCCCACGAGAGGTCACCGGATAATGGGGAATGGAAGAGCTAGAAAGGTGTGAAGGGAGCACCAAAAACAGGTTTAAAAATGGCCGGAATGACCAAGCCGGAGATATGTAAGAACCTAGTAAGTGGAAAGGGAATATTATGGACGAGGGGAAGAGAAAACTTTAGGTGGGTTGATTGAGGAACAACTGGAGGATTAGAGCGGAGGTTGAGGTCGAGCACATCGGCGGCTGCTGGGTCTCACTGACTACTGACTGACTGATTGACTGACTGAACTGTCTTCCCGTGGGGCTAAGCAGCCCCCCGACAATCAATGCTTATTGAATGCCTGCCTGCCTGTCAATCCCACCCCTCCCTCTGCCCCCGTGCTCTTTCTTCCATTACCCACACCTGCCCAATTCATCAGTCCCATAAACTTAACCATCATTTCGTTTGCCCATTTCAATTTTGTACCTGGTCTCGAGGCTAAACATGCTTATACAAAGTTCCAACTGTCTGAGTAGCCGAGAGACTCGAAACAAAGAGGTCTATGGAATCCACTTGCTACCGAATCGAGTCAACCTACGGTACTTCAAGTTGCTAGTTACTATGAATGACGATATCCATGATACATACGGGGGTATGACGATACATGGAAAAAGGCAATCATTCCCGTACTATAACTCGAATATGATTCATTCATATGTGACCAGCGATCAACACTAGTTCAGTATGTATGTTTTCTACTACCTTGAGCTTCCTACTATATCTTACACATTACCTTGGTGTTCCTTATCTTCTGAAATCGTATGCAAGTCATGTACAGTATGTGTTTCAGAACCAGCGATATCCAAAAGCCCTTCCCAAGCTGGATTGAAGCAGAGATGCTTGCATCACCTGAACCCCCAAGACCTCTTCGATCAAGCAAGCAGCTGACACGCAGCTAACTCGGTTTCAACATACTCGCAAACAACACCATCTGATACTCTTCGATTCTGAGGAAACCCGAATTGGAGGGGCACGACCACAGATCCGCAACCGATATTGGCCACAGATCATCCGCAGCCCGACACATCACCTGCACACCTGTCTGGCCACATGGAATGAGTTGTTCTCATGCCTTTTGTCCCTTTTGTCTCAGGGGCATGGTACGCTCATGAGCAATCGCTGATCGGATGCCTTATCTGCCTCTGACGGCTAGATATCACAACCACCGAGAATACTACTACAGTATGTAGAAAAGTAGGCGTGCCATGCAGGAGCCCGAGTCCGCCACTACGTTTCATTTGGCCTAGTTGCATGTCGTAGATGTACCCAACCGCCCGTTATGGCAAGTAAATGTGAAGAGACTCAAATGGGCCATATGGTACCACAAGCTACAGCCCAGGTGGAGGGGTTATCCTGGCCAATCCTGAGCCATGAACTTCTTCCTTCTCCTCCTCCTCCTCCTCCTCCTCTTCTTCCAAGTGTCATTGCTCCGGGGAGGCACTTGAAGCATAGTGTACAGGCAATGTCGTTACTGCTGAGGTTGAATACCTTTTTATACCTCTTTTCAGAACAAGAAGCTTGACAACTACCCCTACTACGCTGCATAAGTCAGAGTGAGACTCAAGTCTAAACTTCACTGTAGGACAAGACATAACGGGGGTGAGAGAACTATCTACTTCGATTCGGATCAAATTTTACGAATCAAATGGCTCGAGAGACTTTTTCAAGGTCAGAAACAAAATGTTTGTCATTGTCTGATCAAACGCCCGACATCCTTCACCGCTGGTTTTGATGCATGGTGCCGTCGGAAGTTCCCTGGTGTCCTCATTACTCCGCAAATGGCCATGGTAAGTCGGTTTGTTAAAAGACAATGTTTGTCCCGGCCAGATATGAACAGCAGCTATCTATGGTATCTCAACATATACATATGTATCGGTGCTCCCTCTGCCAATCATTAGAGTCGCAGATTGACTGTACCATACACAGCATCAAACCGTCGTCACTATGTTTTCCTGGCTTATCATAGAATTCTCAAGACAACATATATCGGGTTGGGCCAGTTGAAAGCTTTCTTGCTGAACATCTTGGGAACACACGAGAATCAGAAGCACCATGTACATAACATATATCACTTGGTCGAGAATTCGCCCTTCATACTACGCATTTAACTGCATGATGTTCAAGGAGATTGTGTGATTGACTTGATATTGTTTCCGCTGGGCTGAATTGTAATGGCCAAGCTTGTTTCAGCTATGAATCCCCCAACTTTATCAGAAAGAGCTATGTTAACATTCTCAGATGCAAGACTATATATGTAAAATTGGCTAAGACCTCCAACTGAGACCTCTAAAATGATCGATTGATTTCCTCATCGTACAACCATTGGCTCTGCTCAGCCTGAGCCTCACTGATGTTATGTGAGGCTCCAAGCCGCCGTCTACCCCGGGCCTGGGCCTCGAGAGAACCACTTACCCCAGTGCAAGTTTTATACTGAAGTCAGGAACTTCGAGGACGATGCAACCACTACCAATCGGACAGTAAGCCCGGATCTATGTGCGACACATGCGATCGGTTCGGCTTGACTCGGGTCTTTGTCTTCCCCATCCATGACATAATCTGTCAACTGACCTCATCATGATTCAAGCCACGGCACCTACAAGTATATATAGAGATAACTTCTTCGTCCCCAAGGTTCCCAAGTCTTTCATCAGCGTTGAAGCCAAAATAATAAGTCAAACGATCAAATCAATACATTTATCATCCTATTCAACCACAACTTCGAACAACATGGGTTGCGATTGCGGTTCCGGAAACACCTGCGGATGCAGTGGACCCAGCAGCTGCACTTGCGGAAGCTCGTGCTCTTGCAAGCAGTGCGGCGTACGTTGAGATCCTCTCCCCATGAATTTTACAAGTCACTTACAGGCATCCATAGAAGTAAAATCTTGCACCCCTATTGAATCCAGTCCAAACTGGTCACCTGAGTGATGAATCATGACGATGATTAATGGTAAAGGATGCGATTCGCCAAGGCGTGGAAATGTTCCTCTGGATTATCATGTACTTTAGGACTAAATGAATTATATTATCAACCTATAAATTTTTTACCCCTAACGATGACCATTATGTCCAAGATCCTGTAGGCTGAGCTCCAAAGAGATCAAGAACCACTATCGAGCAGTAGGACATATGAAGAGACGGCAGACATGTTCGGTGGCGAGGGCTCTTATCTAGTGTCATGGACTTCGATGACCTTGTCTGAAGCGCAATCTTGTTTTGCCAAAAGGAAATCTATGTCCTATATAGAATGTACATATCGCAAGTAAGTAATGTAAGGTCGAAAAGGCCATCGAGTTTAGCTGTGATGCTATTGACGATGGAGCTAGTATCTAATCCCATTGACCGGTGATCGTCCGTGCGGTCTCCAAGAAACGGCTGAGTAAACAGGTAGCCTGCACCGCCCCAGATATCCTTAGGAGAGCTTGGATTTCGAGACCTGAGAAAACGCCGATTCAATTGGAAATATTGTAGCAATAATTAACTTATAGTCGGATGTTAGGATTAGGCGTGCCTCGACTTCGCACACGACCCTCGTTGCTGGATCTGATTGCCAGTCAAAAAACCGCAGTGTTGTCGGGAGTTGGTTCGAGGTCGTCATCACCGCCTGAGCTAGAAGGCCAAAACCAGCAGTTGGAACTGCCACCGCTCCCCGTGTCGCCCACTTCATCATCCTGCAGCAGCGACAACAGCCTCTCCTCCCCTCTTTCTCCCATCCACCGCCGCCCCTCTTCCTCCACTCCCTCCATCCACGACCATACTTCACACAAGATGGCCCCCTCCGCTGCTGATGGCGAGAACCAGCATGGTTCCGTCTTCTCCGTCTCCGGACCCGTCGTCGTGGCCGAGCATATGATCGGTTGTGCTATGTACGAGTTGGTAGGTTCTCCCCGCAGCTCCTTCTACCCCATAACAGTGCACGGGGGACTCGAATGTCGATACAACCCCACACTCAGCCTTTATCGTCTCTGATAATCTCCGCAGTGTCGAGTCGGTCATGATCTGCTTGTCGGAGAAGTCATTCGTATCGATGGAGATAAGGCCACCATTCAGGTCTACGAGGAAACCGGTACAGCACCGTTCATCTCCCGCTTTCCACCATCTCAATCTCTAACAATTTTCGCTATCAGCTGGCTTGACGGTTGGCGACCCCGTTCAGCGTACAGGCAAGCCTCTTTCGGTTGAGCTCGGTCCCGGTTTGATGGAAACGATTTACGATGGTATTCAGCGCCCCCTGAAGGATATCTCCGAACAGTCCAAGGGTATCTACATTCCCCGTGGTATTGCAGTCAATGCCTTGGATCGTGAGAGGAAATGGGACTTCAAGCCTGGGAAATACAAGGTCGGCGATCACATCACTGGTGGTGACATCTGGGGTACCGTTTTCGAGAACAGCTTGGTGAATGACCACAAGATCATCCTTCCTCCCCGCGCGAGGGGTACTATTACCAGAATCGCCGAGGCTGGTAGCTACACAGTTGATGAGAAACTTCTTGAAATCGAGTTCAATGGCGTGAAGACTGAGCACAGTATGATGCACACCTGGCCCGTCCGTGTGCCCAGACCTGTGAACGAGAAGCTGGCCTCCGACTCTCCGTTCATTGTCGGCCAGCGAGTCTTGGACTCTCTTTTCCCCAGTGTCCAAGGTGGTACCGTCTGCATTCCCGGCGCCTTCGGATGCGGTAAGACTGTCATTTCTCAGAGTGTGTCCAAGTTCTCCAACAGTGATATCATCGTCTACGTCGGTTGCGGTGAGCGTGGTAATGAGATGGCTGAAGTGTTGATGGATTTCCCCGAGGTTTGTCGCTTTTCCCGCAAGAACACCAACGATTACTGATCAGCGTCTTTTTAGCTTTCCATCGACATCGACGGTCGCAAGGAGCCTATCATGAAGCGTACCTGCCTGATCGCTAACACCTCCAACATGCCTGTCGCCGCCCGTGAAGCCTCTATCTACACCGGTATTACGATCGCCGAATACTTCCGTGACCAAGGAAAGGACGTGGCTATGATGGCGGATTCCAGTTCTCGCTGGGCCGAGGCTCTCCGTGAAATCTCCGGTCGTCTGGGAGAGATGCCTGCTGATCAGGGTTTCCCCGCCTACCTTGGTGCTAAGCTTGCCTCCTTCTATGAGCGTGCCGGAAGGAGTATCGCCCTCGGAAGCCCCGAGAGAACCGGCAGTGTCAGTATTGTCGGTGCCGTCAGCCCTCCAGGTGGTGATTTCTCGGACCCTGTTACCAGCAGCACTCTCGGTATCGTCCAGGTTTTCTGGGGTTTGGACAAGAAGCTGGCTCAGCGCAAGCACTTTCCTTCGATTAATACGTCGATCTCCTACAGCAAGTATACCACGGTTCTGGACCGGTACTACGAGAAGCACCACCCCGAGTTCCCTCGTCTGCGTGATCAGATTCGTGAGCTTTTGACCAAATCGGAAGATCTGGACCAGGTGGTGCAGTTGGTCGGTAAGGCGGCATTGGGTGACTCGGATAAGATCACCCTGGATGTGGCTGCCATGGTCAAGGATGATTTCCTGCAACAGAACGGCTACAGTGACTACGATCAGTTCTGTCCCCTGTGGAAGACTGAGTACATGATGAAAGCTTTCATGGGCTACCATGACGAAGCGCAGAAGGCCGTTGCCCAGGGTCAGAATTGGGCCAAGGTTCGCGACGCCACGGGTGATATCCAGACCGCTCTGCGGAACATGAAGTTCGAAGTGCCAGACAACGAGGCGGAGGTGTCTAACAAGGTGAGTCCGATTCTCTTGCATGCCACGACGTAATCATTCTAACTCCTTCCAGTATGAGAAGATCCTCCAAACCATGTCGGAGCGTTTCGCTTCGGTGTCGGATGAGTAGAGGATATCAACACGGCCGGGAGAGAATCTTCGAGATCGTGTCGTCATTTCTTTCTTTTGAATTTCAAGAGCTTTGTAGCATAGCAAATTCCCATTATCTGTAGTTATTGCAGTTTCGTTGAAGATCTTCCAGAAAATTCTATTTGCCCAACAATGATAGATTTTGAGCCCGTTTGAGTCAGTGGTCAGGCAGCATCATTGTTTGGCCGGTTTGGGTGGCCAGAAGCACATGACGCGTCCCAGTGAATTCGTGGCTTTGCATTATGACATTCAAGAGAAAGAACTTTTGCTGCTGCTTCCAACCGTGTATTCTGTAGCGATACGTTGACTAACAGCAAGGCCTTGAGTCGCCACCATTGGTAATATTCTTTATGCTGTTGTGGCTTTGTAGTAGCTGTTGTATCGATCTTTATCTCACTGATCTGGGCCGAAGCGAAAGGCTACACTTGGCACTTCCCGTCGCCGCCGCCGCCTTCGCTCACTCCGACACTCTTCCCCCTTCAACTTACCCCCCCAAATCCACCATTCACAGCTACTACCCTTAACAGGCATTCATTCATACACTCGATTCCATACACTTGACTGCTGTCTTTCTACCAGATAAAGCTTTTTTTTTTCTAATTTGGAGCGATTCCCTAATCATCATTGCCAGCCATGGCAAGCCCAACTGGCTTCTCGTGCGCAATCCCCCCTCCCCCTTGGGCCCTCGTGCCCTCGATGCTAGGTTGACTGGCTGACCTCGCTTGTCGGACAGGATAAATGTCAACGATCCCAGCTTGATCTCCCTGGTCAATAAGCTGCAGGATGTCTTCGCTACTGTCGGAGTAAGTGATTGCTGTTTCGTGGAGCTTTCCTGCGGCCCCTCCGCATACTGACACCGCTTGTTCTGTTTAGGTTCACAACCCCATCGACCTGCCTCAAATTGCCGTCGTCGGTTCGCAGTCTAGCGGAAAGAGTTCCGTCTTGGAGAATATTGTTGGCCGCGATTTGTGAGTGACCCTTATTGTCGCCATCGCAACCACTGTCGCATTCGCTAATTGCCAACCCTGCACCCCCTTAGCCTGCCCCGTGGTTCCGGAATTGTCACTCGCAGACCCCTCATTCTGCAACTGATCAACAAGCCCGCTGCCAACGCACAGACCAACGGTGTGAAGGAAGAAGAGTTGGAAGGCACGGATAAGGAGGCAAACGTGGACGAGTACGGCGAGTTCCTGCACATTCCCGGCCAAAAGTTCTACGACTTCAACAAGATTCGCGATGAAATCGTGCGCGAAACCGAACAGAAAGTTGGCCGCAACGCCGGCATCTCGCCCGCCCCGATCAACCTCCGCATCTACTCGCCCAACGTCCTGACGCTGACGCTGGTTGACTTGCCCGGTTTGACCAAGGTGCCGGTGGGTGATCAGCCCAAGGACATCGAAAAACAGATTCGGGACATGGTCATGAAGTATATCAGCAAGCCCAATGCTATCATCCTTGCTGTCACTTCCGCTAACCAGGATTTGGCCAATTCGGATGGCTTGAAGCTGGCGCGCGAGGTGGATCCCGAGGGTCAGCGTACCATCGGTGTCTTGACCAAGGTGGATCTGATGGACGAGGGCACCGATGTCGTGGATATTCTTGCGGGCAGGATTATCCCCTTGCGCCTGGGTTATGTGCCGGTGGTCAACCGCGGTCAGCGCGATATTGAGAACAAGAAGCCCATTGCGTATGCGCTGGAGAACGAGAAGAACTTCTTCGAGAACCACAAGGCTTATCGCAACAAGTCGTCATACTGTGGAACGCCCTATCTTGCCAGGAAGTTGAACTTGGTGCGCATAGCTCCCTGGTACATGACTGTATGTGCGCTAACCATGCCATAGATCCTCATGATGCACATCAAGCAAACGCTTCCCGACATCAAGGCCCGCATCTCGTCCTCTCTTCAGAAATACTCTTCCGAACTTTCGCAGCTTGGCGACTCGATGCTCGGTAACAGCGCTAACATCATACTGAACATTATCACCGAGTTCAGCAATGAGTACCGCACTGTGCTGGAGGGTAACAACACCGAACTTTCGAGTATTGAGCTGTCCGGAGGTGCCCGTATCAGCTTCGTGTTCCACGAGCTCTACTCGAACGGTGTCAAGGCAGTCGATCCTTTTGATCAGGTGAAGGACATTGATATCCGTACTATCCTCTACAACTCTTCCGGATCGTCACCAGCTCTCTTCGTTGGCACGACCGCTTTCGAATTGATTGTGAAGCAACAGATCAAGCGACTGGAGGATCCTAGCTTGAAGTGTATTTCCTTGGTGTACGACGAACTCGTCCGCATTCTTGGTCAGCTTTTGAACAAGCAGCTCTTCCGGAGGTATCCTATGCTAAAGGAGAAATTCCATGCCGTGGTCATTGGATTCTTCAAGAAGTGCATGGAGCCGACCAACAAACTGGTTCGGGATCTTATCGCCATGGAGACGGTTTACATCAATACTGGACACCCCGACTTCCTCAACGGACACCGCGTAAGTTATTCGCACAATGTTTGTAGCTGAGCGATACTGACCGATCAGGCCATGGCTATTGTCAACGAACGTCAACTTGGAAGCAAGCCGACGCAAGTAGACCCCAAGACCGGCAAGCCCCTCCCTCCGCGGGCCAACAGCCCTTCGGTCGAGACCCCTACCGACACCGGCAGCTCTGGGTTCTTCGGCAGCTTCTGGGCCTCGAAGAACAAGAAGAAGATGGCTGCTATGGAGCCGCCACCGCCCACTCTGAAGGCCTCTGCCGCCCTGTCCGAGCGGGAGAGCAGCGAAGTTGAAGTGATCAGTGAGTACTGTTGAATATCTTTGCAGATTGGATGCTTACATAAAACAGAGCTGCTTATCACATCGTACTTCAACATTGTCAAGCGCACCATGATCGATATGGTTCCCAAGGCCATCATGTACACCCTTGTCCAGTAAGTTCGATCCCACGAGCTTTTTATATTTGATACTAACACAGAGCCAGATTCACCAAGGATGAGATGCAGCGCGAGCTCCTGGAGATGATGTACCGCAACAACGAGTTGGATGAACTCCTCAAGGAGAGCGATTACACCATCCGCCGGCGGAAAGAGTGCCAGCAAATGGTGGAGAGCCTATCCCGCGCTAGCGAGATTGTCAGCCAGGTTCAGTGAGTCCCAGAGTTGGATGGTTGATTTTACTTTCATACACCCGGTTGCTTTCTGTTGTCCTGGTAGCCAGTCTTTTTGGAGGGGCTCAGTCTCTTGCGGGGAGTTGATGATGCCTTATGTTTATATTTTCTTCTGATTCAAGAATTCCACGGCCGCATGGTAGATGAACGGTTGCCAAGATTTGACGAATTTGTATCGCCTAATGACTGCGGATGATTGCGGCTTGTTTAGAATTGAGACCATTTGCAGATTAGCAGTTGCAATGTACAGTAACTCAAGGAGAGGGCCCGTACTGTTTAGGTTTGATTTATGATGAAGCATGCCCTCTCAACATGGGTAGCAGCTGTTCCTTGTAGGTACAGACCTGTATACCAAAAAGGGCTTAGCGTACCAATGAAGTGGGTCACTATCAGATAAGCCCATGTTTAGCGTGACTCGCGTGGCCAATAGCCGCTCGGCCCGGTGATCCGAAGTATATCACCACCGTATGCCATGTTGCTGGGTAGACTATGTATGAAAGGGATAATCATATCTACGCAAGATGGCAAGCAGAAAAATGAAGAAGTTTAGCTTGTATGCCTTCGTTTAGAAGTCTCAAAGGCTGAGTAACACGCTGTAGTGAGGGTGATTACCATCAGGCAACGATCACTGTGTTCGAGCTGCCTTTCACTTCTCTTATCCTCTCCACCCTCCTCCTCTCTCTTCGTCTGCCTCTCTCACCTTTGTTTCCTCTTCATCTCCCACACTCGCTCCATTGCTCTCTGTAAAGCTTCATCTTTTTTTTCATCTCTCTCTCTCGGCCAGTAATCATTCTCTCCCCCCCACCTCATCTCACATTGAGCGTCCCACCATCTCCCGCTTGTTTCCAATCCAAGAACTGAAGCCAAGTAAGTTAACACTCACCGTAGCTACAGATCACATACTGATACCATCAAGCATGTGTTTCGGATACAGATTTCCTGTCATCTTCACCAGATGCACCCAGGAGGTCCGTCATCTCGCTTGGAAAGAAATCTACTTCCAATGCCGTGACCGGTGCAACGATCCGACGAACTTCAAGCCGTACGTACCCCACACCTTACGTTCTGTAAAAGCCCCTTCCACTCACCTTCTTCCTCAGTTGTGAGCAGAACAGTATGCAGGACTTTGTTACAGTGGGCAGCTTGTATGTGAGGAACGCCCCATGCCGCCTCTGCCAATGGGACTTCAAGGCCGAAGGCTTCGATCCGAGCAACGGTGCGAGACTCTGCCAGGTGAGTTCTCTCTCTCTCACACACCTTCCTGCTTACCTTTTTCTCAACAAAGAAGAGACATACTGACCGAAACTCCCCATCACGGGAGAAACAGGTCATCAAGCGTCCTCACGATTACGAACTCAACTGGATCATGGAATACATGAACGACCTCCTCCCCGTCGGCTCGCGGGCTATCCCTCCAGTTGAGACAGCCAAGAACCCTCGCAGCATGGTCGATTACTGGCTGGCCGTCGAGGAACCAGCGGCCGATGACGACACGGATGACAGTGACGACTCCGAGGCGTCCGAGGACGACGACGCTGACGATTTCGACTTCGTCACTGATGAGGACTACACTTCTGATTTCGAGGTGCTTGATGAGTTCGAGCTGTAAGCGGGCTTGACAAGTTCGTTGATCAGCTACGAATCGTGATACCTAGCTTACATCTCCTTTCATATTTGGTTCATCGTTCATCGCTCTTTGTTCTTGATTGCGTGCTTACGCTGTACTTCAACATCCCTCTGGTCTGCTCTCAGCGAGCTCTGTTGGGTATTGATGCTCCCAGCAAGCATGGTTTTCTGTTGTTTTGCTTGTTCTGTGACTTTTGTGGTTTAGGGGGTGTTCGCTGAAGGATACGGCTAGGTTTGCTATGGCTCCTATCTTGCCATAGGGTATGCGTGGCTGATCGGTCGGTATGGTATGGAGCTTTGGTGTTGATGGTTGTTACTCAGTGTCGTCTTATTTCCTCTCGTTGTTTAATCTGTTTTGATCTCAGCCGAATATGGGAGAAGTCTGTATCTGGCTATGGCTTCCACCTTGTCGTGGGGTATGCATAGTCCGGCCGTGGCTTCTGACTATTTTCGCTGCTGTGCTTATGTCTCTTTCTTCCCAATGGTTGTCAATTTGGCTTCATTAGTGCAACAGTTGTGACACTTGACATGACATATTTATGGTTGGATTTCAGGCCTTGGAGTTCGTCTCGGCCGTGTTTCTGAACATCTCTGGAGAAAGTCACATAGCCAGCCATAATCCAACAACGTTGCAAGTTTGCACCCACTCTCTAAATCTGCAACTATCTCCTCTAATCCCAAAAAAAGACAGTCTATGCAATCGAAGAATGTCTATACGTATAATGCCACCCCTCCCTCTCCATATCCTCACGGACCTTATAATTCTCCTCCGCGATCCTCACCAGCCCCAAATCCATGTCCACCACCAGCACCCCTTCCTCATCGCCCATCTGCCCCACCGGCCCAACGACCGGCAACACCACCCGCGAGAGGCCCATGAACTTGTCCTCCGGATCCTGGCCCCGCGCGACATTGGCAAAGATGATCCCGCAGGTATTCTCAAAACACCGCGCCGTGAGGGTCGTCTCGAGGAACAACTTCTCCGACTCCGGGTTATGTTTCAGCATCGCGGGCGAGGCGTCGTAGCGACTCCCTGTCGTAAGCCTTCAGTTAGCCTGTCTCTTAACTAGAAAGCTACAAACCACCCCTCCCACCCATTACCCACCGGGCGCAGCCACCCAACCCACCAATCCCCAAGAAACAACAAATCAGAACAGAGAAAAAAGGCGAACTCACAAAACGTCGGCAGAACCACCACCTCCGCGCCCTTGGAGATCAACTCGCGGAAGGCCTCCGGGAACGCCAGATCCCAACAGATCAGCAGCCCCACCTTCCCCAGCGGCGTGTCGAACACCTCGTGCGGCTCCTCCCCAGATGACGTCAGGTATTCGCGCTCCGGGTGCCAGATGTTCTTCTTGCGGTAGTGGCCCAGGATGCGGCCGTCGTGGGAGATGAAGTACGCCGTGTTGTAGAGGAGGGCGTCCTTTTTGCTTGCCTCGGTGGGGTTGGTGGTCGCGGGCTGCGGCTCGTGACGTTCGACGATCGTGCCTGGGACGATGCAGATGTGCAGGTCGCGGGCGAGGGCTTGGTAGGCTTGTAGGTATTCCTGAGTGGAGGCCGCGTGGTCGAGCCAGAGGGGGTCGGAGGGGGCCCAGCCGTTTAGGTGGTATCTTTTTTTGTTTTGGGTGGGTTAGTGTGGTGGGTTTGGGGAGGGAAAGTGCCCGGGGGAAGGGGGGTGGTGCGGGGGTTTGAGGTATAGGGTGAGGGTGCAGATGCTTACTCTGGGAGGACGGCGAGTTCAGCACCTTGGGCTGCGGCTTCGCGGATGTAATCGCATGCTTTGCGGTGGTTTTCTTCGATGGCTAGGTCCTGCGGGGGTTGGTTAGCGATTTGCTGCGATTCAGCGTAGGTAGCGAGCGACGTACCTGGATGTTCCATTGGATGACGGCTACTCGATGGATGGGTGCCATTGTGGGTTACAGTTATGTGAGGGATAACAAGCAAAGGGCAATGTTTTGTGGAATGCGACGAGAGAGAAAGTCATGATGGTCATCCAGTGCCGGGAAGTTGGAGGTTGGAGATGGTGGAGTCATTGAGTTCCCCGCGTTGGAGTCGCCTTGATAAGAGCGGGGTGTGTGTTTATGTAACTCTTTCCTTCCCTCTGCAACTTTTCATGAACTTCGAGATAAGACAACACCAAACAGGATGCTTGCAATTTTGAATTGTTATGAATGACAGACTATCACTACTGACTATTTTCTCTTCGAGCGCAGATAGCAACATCAGGATGTGTAGGGCTTTTTCAAACGCGCAAGCCATATCATGAAGCTGATCCTGCTCCAGGGATGAAGACCTCTTCGCGTCAATTCAAATTAATTTGGACGAGCGACCACTCCCAGCATCCAGAACCCTCCACTGTTGAGATTGCAGATCTTCGTGCCGCCGGCTCTCCAGAATCCAAGGCCGGCGAAGCTGCCATTGGCCAGGTGGCAAGACCCTACAAGGGGACTGGATTGAACCTCCCCACGATGGTCGAGTAGCTCGAACAATGGCTGTTCGATCAGTGGCTGGATGATATACATGGTGCGACCTGGTTCAAGCCCAGGGTCACGAAGATCAAGCAAAAGACTTTCCCATTGGGAGACGGACAGCTCCCTCCCGAGCAGAATTTCGTCCCCTCGACCACTCCGAACCGGCTTGATGATGAACTTATCTTTATGAATCAGGGATCGGCTCTGCTGGTCGATCAAAATGCTCAGCTCCAGAGACCCGGGGTTTATGGTAGGTACGACGCCGTGCCGAAGGATCGCTGCTTGCTCTGGTGTAAGGACTTGCTTGCTGACAAGGCTGTCAAGTTCTTGGAGCAGCACCCCAAGGATCCGCTTGTCATGAATGAGAAGAACGCTTCTCAAATCATTGACACAGTGCAGCGCAAGGTGTCGCAAGATGTCTGTCGGGATGGAGCGCAGTTCATGCTGGAATAGATGAAGCCCGGTTTGGTACACACGGTCCAGACGCTCACCGTCTGTGCTGACCATGTCAGGACAGTCCTTGTCAGACAGGCAGTAAAGGTCATATCCAGTCTGCGAGTTGTCACTCTTTATCAAGCGAAGGTCTGCTGACTTGATTATAGTGGCACTAATTCTTCCGCTTTGTTCAGCAAAGGAGACGAACATGTCGATGTAGGGCGTTCGATACTGGTCGCGCACGATATGTATTGGGTACTTCGGATCGAAAATATCTAGCTGACTTTTGATAAACTGGGTCATAGTCAGAACACTATAGTTGCTCACAAGGACGAAGGCTCTCTACATACCTTTCGTGCGTCTGCACCTGCAAAGACACAGCCTCTTTCAGCCGCCATCTCCTCATATATCTGATAGCCATAGGCTGCAAGGAGCTGTGCATTGATGGAGTATCGTGCGTTGATCTCACAGATCTTGACAGTACCTGGGTGATCCGAAGGAAGAAGGAGATCGCCAGTGTCCCTGACAATTTCTGAAAGGTCTCAGATTGTTCGCTTCAGACTGCTCATGCAACCACTAAGCGGGAAGGTCAGCACCGTTGCCAAAGATCAAGTTGATGAGTGTCTCACGCGTAAAAGATCTTCTTCATGTGGTTCCAGTGGCATCCTTCGGGGAAACGTAGCCTGTTCATTGGTCCACCAAGTGTCCACGATGCTGCTAAGTCCGCTGACTAGTGCCTCGTGCAGCTTCGCTACACTCCTTTGAAGTCTTTCAGGTAAGAGGAGCGGGTTTGGAGAGTTGTTGTTCACATTTCCCCGACAACACCTAGTGAGAGACTCGAAGTACGTGTTGAAAGTCTGCTTCTGTTTATACTGTACTTCCTTCTGGGCAGATTTCGGAGCCACAGGGTCTGCTGGACTTATGGTTGAAGCCAGAAAAACCTGATGGATGCCGTATTGAGTGACCATCTTGAATTGCTTTACTGAGATGTGCGATTGTGCAAGCATTTTCTAACAACTTCAAGCTTCGTTCTCTGGTCCCGTTTAAATATCTGGCCCTACCCACTATTTGGAGCCTTGTCCTGAGTCAAAAGCATCTTCTGCATTGACATCGCCACCTTGCCCCTTCTCAAGTACACAGCATACTCTTCTCGAGAGCTCGGAAATCTATCGCGCTTTGCGCTTTCTCAGCGGTTAGCGACTGAGCCGTCGGCATCGGAATCCTCGGCAAAGCAATGCGAAGTGTATCCTTTGTGCTGAAGCAGGAATTGAGTCCAAAGCGCGGTCCATTTTCCCTTCGGCCTCATATTGCTTCCTTGATTGACTTGCTCTGGCTCGAGAGAGCTTGATTGCATGCCCAAGACCCCTATGAGGTCGAAGTGCCAGTCTCACGATGTCACGGAATCTTTAAAACCAAGTGGAATCTTTTGCAATTGTGAATTGAAAGTCCGGACCTGAGCGCTCTCGCTTCGGACTGCCACATTGTTCTTTCATGAAGACGGTCGATTCCCCGCACTTGAAGGTTAATCCGACATGAGAATGAGGGATAAGTTCAGTCGAGAACCAAATGAGAGCTCTGACCCCAGGGACAGTCGTCAGCTCTCAGGGGTGCAGTCAGCTTAATCTATTCGACATCTGTTGAACAATGAAACCTGGATCGAGCGACCGTCAACAGAGGAAGGGTTGCGCACGAATTGGTCTCACAAGACCTATCCGTGTGTTACCATCACGAGACATAGTAAAGTTGCCGGACAGATGGCCCCTCAGGTATCCAGGACTTCAAGATGAAGTGGTAATCGCGATAGCGAAAAAGAAGCAGTCGGGCATCAGCACTTAAAAACAGGCACCAGGCCCAGAATGGAATATCAGGAACTGGTTCAGGTGGATCCGATCCGCGAGGCAAATCAAGGCCTCGGCCAATTGCCAAGCAATGAGGACATGTGCGCACTTGCCTCATTGCCTCTACATAATTTCCACCGGCACGTCATTCTTTCTGCCTTGTAAATCACCACATTCCGCACACCTCCATCGAGCACTTTACGCTTCATCAGAACTTTGGAGCGATGGCACCCCTCACAGCAGAGGAGCTCGTTAAGCATCCGGCGTACCCCACAGTCGAATGGGAACTCACCCCAACAACATCCGGGAAACAAGCAGTGGCCCAGACCCGCCGTGGAGGGCCGATCAATCTGCACTATGAAATGCACGGCACTGGCCCAGTGAAGCTCGTCGTAAGTCTCAAGTGTGATTCTCAACCCATCGGGGTTCAACGGTGGCACTGACACGGACCGCACAGTGGATTATGGGCCTTAACGGGACCCTGAAGGACTGGCGACGCCAGACCAGGTACTTTGGGCACAAGCACGGGTCGCGGTACACCTGCTTGGTGTTTGACAACCGTGGCGTCGGCCTTTCAGATAAGCCGGTCTCCTACTACTCGACCTCCGAAATGGCCCAGGACGTGGTCGACCTGGTGAGCTCGTTGGGATGGATCGATCTGGCCGGTCCGCCCGAGCGATCCATCCATGTTATTGGCGCTAGCATGGGCGGCATGATAGCCCAGGAGGTCGCGATGCTTATCCCCGATCGCCTGGCGAGCCTGATGCTGAAATGTACGGCCCCGCGGCTGGTGCGGACAGGCCCGTTTGTGGAGAACCTGCGGCAGCGGGCGAACATGTTCATCCCTCGCCACATCGACGTGGAGCTGGAGCGGCTGGCGAAGAGCATTTTTGCCGACGAGTTCCTCGCGGAGCCCGACACTGAATACGAGGACCCCGCGAAGAATTTCCCGACCAAGCGCGATCGCTTCGCTGCGGGCGTGATTCGGAAGCGAGCCAACACCGACGAGTATACCAAGAAGGGGTTCTTGATGCAGATTGTCGCCTGCTATTTCCATCACAAGTCAGCGGCGCAACTGAAGACCCTTGGGGATCGAGTAGGCAGAGACCGCATCGCCGTGACTCATGGCACCAAGGACTTGATGCTGACGTTTCGGCACGGGGAGATCTTACGCGAGGAGATCGGTGATGGGATCACCTGGAGGGCCTTTGAGGGGAGTGGCCACATGCTGGGTTGGGAACGAGAAGACGAACTGCACGAGCTGATTGAAGAGATTGTGAACCGATGCAATTAGAGGATGATCTTGGGCAAGAGCATACACCATTTCCCTGCATGACTGAATCAACGACTGTACATTAGACTAAGATTATATTCTGATGATGAATTAGAAATGCTGACAACTTTGTCCCGAAATCAAAGGTACATACGGGACAGTACGCAGTAGACAGGTCGCAGTGACTGGTGGCGACTCGTATAGCTGCACTGACTGCACGTAGCTGAAACCCTCGTGACCAGCCACACCAGACACACCAGCGGTCAGCTGCTGCCCAGTGCCCATCAACTGCATCTCATCTCATCTCATCTCATCTCATCTTACCTCAACACCAATCATCAAGTCTCCTCTCCTTCCATTCATTCCACAAAGTCACTGGATATAGTATATAACAACAGCAACACCCAACCCCGTTTCCTGAAGAAGTTCCCGCCCTCCTCACCTCCTCACCTCCTCACCTCCTCACTTATTTACACACCACACCCTTAGCATAGTGTTGTATACCACATAACCAAAGACCATGCCGCCCCACCCCAAAGACGACAGCTACGAGCCCGCCTCATCCAGCGATGCCCGCTCGCCCTGCCCGGTGCTCAACAGCCTGGCCAACCACCACCGCCTGCCGCACGACGGCCGCAACATCACGGCGCCGCAGCTCCGCTCCGCGCTGGGCTCGATCGGGCTGGGCGCCGACGTCTCCGCGCTGCTGGTGTGGCGGGCCTTCACGATCCACAGCGACGACGCCGAGTTTGGGCCGCACGGCTCCATCGGCGGCCTCCGCGACGCCACCGACCTCAACGCCGCGGGGGAGCCGGTGCTCCACCTCGACAAGGTCGGCCGCCCGCACGCCATCGAGCACGACGTCTCCGTCACGCGCCAGGACCGCGCCCTCGGCGACCCCATCCCCCTCGACCCCGCCCTCTACGAGCAGTTCCTCGGCTCCACCCCGCGCGGCGGCTTCGGCGTCCCCGAGCTCGGCCGCTACCGGAAGGTGCGGTACGCCGAATCGCTGAAGAGCAACCCTTCCCTCAAATTCGGGCGCCGCGAGCACTACATCGCCTGTGGGGAGTTGGCCGTGCTGCGGTGTTTGTTCGGCGAGGGGGCGGGCAGGGGGATCCCGAAGAGCTATCTGCAGGCGCTGTTTGGGGAGGAGCGCTTGCCCTTGGAGGAAGGGTGGAGGCCGAGGCGGTGGGTCAAGGCGTTTTTGCCCGAGGCTGCGGCGGTCATTCTTGCGATTTCGAGGTATGCCTGGCCTTTTTGAGGGGGGTTGTTAGGTTGAGGAGGGGAGAGGGTGGGGAGGTGGAGGTGGGAGGTCAGGATGTTGTTCTAGAGCCGGGTTGGCGAGTCCGGGAGTGTGGGATCAGGTGTCTTGGTACGTGGTGGTGCTGAGAGGCTAGAGGTCTGTCTGTTAAGCTCGGATGGATTGCGCCTCAGGGTTCAGCGCCTGGCAAGTATAGCCGACCCGTGCGGGTGTGTTGGCTGAGCTGCTTATCTTATGGCTGCAAGTGGTCGGTATATCAGACTGGACTGCATGATGGGACGACTGCTCAGCATTGACGAGGAAAGTTCGTGCAGTACCGTATCTGAAAGCAGATTTCGGGCCGGCCGGATGGGAGTCTCGGCTGAGAGGTATAGTATCACTAGTATAGCCTGAAGAGTACTTCGTGTGTCTACGGCGTTCACGGCCAGCTTGGCGAGCGCTTGTCTTGTGTGACGTCCCTATTTAAGCTTCTATATCGTGTTCAGATGGTGTGTATGGCTTGAGTTGGGAGGTATCTTATCAACATGTCATCTCCGTTGCAGTATCTCCTACGACTTACGGTAGTGGAGCACCTCCTTCGTGAGTTTTCTCACTGAGCCTGAGAAATACTCCAAGTGCTTTAGTTATCATTAGCGAGTAATTACTTAGGATGCTGCAAAAGACCGATGCCACAATACAGAAAGCCAATCATGTTCTTCCCGGGTACCTGGAACCCAGCTTCAAATGCTTCTGGCTCGAACCCTAAATGTAATCGCATGCTCGGGTTGTCAAGCCGTGAGTTGTATTATCCAGCATTCGCCCTTGTGATAGATATCTAAGCAGCTTACCAGGTCGGTGCCTGAGCAGGTCTCTACTGTGGACTCGGTGGGTACGGGATGCATGGCCGCAGGACAGGAACTCATTATGCAGCTTGTATAGTCAATACACTAGAAGAGCCTATCGCCTGGCGAGTCATGCAAAGGCTCCTTTGGTTCCACAGGTTGAGACCCGCGGGTTTCGCCAATGATGTGCCCAGTGTTGAAATAAGCATTCCCCTTCTGATATAAGTAGACTTTGTACTCCCAGAGAACTGGATGACAGCAACTTAAACCAATGGCATACCACTCTCCTCGATCATAGACAGAGCACCAATACCACTTCAGGGTGAAGCCATCAACAGTCAAACAACAGCAGCAGCAAACACCTCGTTTGCTCAGTACTAACATACGAACCCCCTACACGGTAGACAAATGTGACCTGTCGCACCAACCGCGTCATCACGAACCCCGTACACTTGGCTTGAGTACCTCACAGAGAACCTTCAGTATGTATGACTAGGACTGCTACTATAATTATACCTCTCCACCACTATCACGCAGTCCCGAAGCTCCATTACGCAGGAACAGACACCGACCAGCGGAACAACGCCTCACCTTTCCCCCTTCCCCCTTCATCGAACCACTTTATTCCCCGAGCTCAGAAACTACTGCAGGAACGCGCTGGGTGAGGGATCATCAGGGGAGGTGGTGGCCAGTTGCCACCGCATGGAGTACGCGCGTCGAGTTGCGATCACTGCCCGGATGGATTGGTGAGGAATGGGCTTTACCCCTGCAGGATGCATGAGATTGATCTTATAGATCGGAACAAGCTGCGAGTAAGCTTCGGAGAATCGCTGTGAGGGTCGATTATGATGGTTGATTGTTTTGGTGATTGCTTGTGTCTTGGTGGGGGTGGATTGTGTGCATTGGGATGAGGGAGAGCTTAGCTTTGGCGGATGATGGATGTGGTAGGCTACTGTACATCTACTCCAGTATAAACATAGTACGTAATCTACATCGGCTAAGCAGGGTACCTGGGTAAAGTACAGCAAGAAATCTACAGTACCTAACTTAGGTGATACTATCTGATTGGGGGTTTACTACAGGCTTGAAGCAATTGCTTTGGAGCAGGTCGCCGCCGTACCTTCCGAACGAGTAACATTCACAAGTAATTATCAAATCCTACAAGGCGGTCGATCTCAACTACTCTTACATCGGTATCCCATCTAATCTGCTCCATTTGTGTGCACTTACCTTTCTCAGCCTTCCTAGCTATTCCAACTCGGATATAGTCCCCCGGCAGACATTTCGTCATCGCGACTGGATAAACATCAATAGATTGTGTCGATCGATCCAACCGACACCCACTGATTGCTCTCTCCTTGCCGTTTCCCCTCAAAAGCGGAGAATCCGCTGGATCCAGAGCGTTCGGAGAATAATCCTCCTGCCAACGCAGTCTCCACCCAACGATGAACAAGTCAGAGCAAGGCTCACAGACGTCATTCACAGGTGGCCTGCCCGGCAGTCTCGATAAGCCATGGCTATGCTCACCGCATCGAGACCAGGCTGACAGCAAGTCAACAACCATAATCACAAGGCCAGCCCCCTCGGAGATCTTCAGTCTGTGCCCTAAGCCATCCATAAGCTACTTTCTATACTAACATTTAGACCAGTATGTACACAAGATATTTCCCCGCATCATGACCTACACTAGTCACGACATCTCTAGCGCAGGTCGCACCATCACCTGGTCAACTGCGGCACGCAAGCAGAGCATCAAGCAAGCAACAATCCATCTTGCCCTCGTGAGATGATCATGGTCTCAGTCGATCCCGCGTTTCTGGGCGATTTCTCGGCGACGGCTTGGACCGAGTTCGAAGGAGGAATGAGATGAGGGGAAACGATGGGATTACCTAAGTCCAGTGAACAAGGCTGTGCAACCCCTTCCTTCGATCGCCCCCCCAAACTGGTAACCACAAAGATGCAGAAGTACCCAAGATGTCATGACCAGATGCAAGGGCGCTCTCACCTCACTGTTGGTGCGTTGCTGCTGACCGTTTCTCGAAGACTATCCCAATGTCAGGAACGGTTGGTTTGCTTGGGTATCGGGGAAATTCCCCACACGGTACGTACTGTACGGACGGTATGTATGCTCTGAAGTCCGCGCCGTCCGGGATGGAGGTTTGGCGTAGCCCACTGACCAGCAGTTAATCAGCAGATCATGGAGATCAATCTAATTCCCAATCACGACATCCCGAAGCAGATGGCAACAAGGACAAGACATCCAACGCGACGGCTTGACTCCATTTGGCGGGTCTGCCCCAATGATGATCGCCCGATGGCTTACCCAAAGACCTCAGCAAGAGGCGCGCACTAGACACGGCTCTGGGGACACTTGGGGACACTAAGCAGTCACTGAACAGGCACTAAACAGCCCGTCATCGGTATCCACGCATCCAATCAATCCTCGTCTACACCAACTGCACCAACTGTCGCGCCTGCATGGCTTGACACGTATCTACGGCCCTGCCGGCTTGTCAACACATCAAGGCAAGCAACCCAGCCAGCCCAGTGGGAAGACAGAGGAAGAAGAAAGGGGAGAACCAGACCGACTGGCTTAGTAACTTATGCAACCACAACAAACAAACAAAGATGACGATGAGGCAAGATAATCCGACCGTATTCTTCCCAAAGGTAATTTGCATACCTATACGTCCAGTACTCAACCAACCGAGCCACAAAATGTCAATCAACCCCTCCTTTCTACTCCGTATAAGCCTTATAGTTTCAAGCCCTCCTTCTCTCAGGGGAAAAGAATCATGCGGGCCGAAAAGAGCAATGTGATGGAGGGCCACCCGATCGATCAGCTGCCTAACACTCTTAACCTAAAGTCTTGTGTAGCTTTTCTTTCGCTTAACCTTTTTCTCCTCCATTTCTTATTTCAATAGTTTATGCAGTGTGAAGCTTCCCGGAGTCTTTTTTGCTTTTCTCGCTTACTCCAATCTAGGGGGAAAGGGAGAGAGGGAAACTTAGCCTGGGCCGCCACTGTTGTTATCTCCGATTACCCTGATTATCATACTGACGATGGACCAAGTCCAAGTCCAAGTCCAAGTCCAAGGGCTGTACAGCCTACCACGACCCGCTTTCCAGCATGAAATTCCGTTCTATAATCCGAGCGATCCACCAGAGCACGGTAGCTAACGTTAGTTCATAGGCCCTTTGCTAGAGTTAAGACTATTCGGACCCGGTATGATTGGTCTCGGCCTGCGCAGCAAGGGAGTAAACTGTTAGCCTTAGCATCTTCCTCGACCTTGACAGAGTAGTTCAGTCCGAGAATGACGAAAGGTCAATGCATGCGTAAGCTCAGCTGCCAGGCCACTTTCTGCAGCAGACAGGATGACAAGAAACTAAATCAGAAAGGAAAAAAAAAAAAAACCAAGAAAGTAAAAATTGTCAGAAGGGTGACATCGTTGAAGCATGCATGCACGCCGAACTTCCCAATGGTACATAAAAAGGGCCATCTGCTCGACCAGATGATAGAGGCTTGAATGGTTAGGAAAGCAGGCCCGTCCCTTGTTTTCTTCTTCGTCTTTTCCTCTTTTTCTGCCTAACACGACTCTTCTTGGGTCCATCATCATGCTTCCCTACGTTCTCCTTCTGCTGTTCACAGCCTTGGTGAATGCCTATTCAGACCCGGGAGCCTGCTCGGGGTCCTGCTGGGCTCACGACCCTAATGTCATCCGCCGCAAGACGGACGGCAAGTTCTTTCGCTTTTCCACCGGACTGGGGATCTTGATCTCGTCCGCCAGCGCCATCACCGGGCCCTGGACCGATTTGGGGTACGTGCTGCCCAATGGTTCATCGGTGACAGTGGGGAATGCATCCAACCTCTGGGTAAGACAATAGTCCCTCGATAACCCTACTACGGGTTTTCCCCCCTTCTCCCTTCCCGTCGGGTAGCCCTAAGTCAAACATTCCTCGACTCACCAGATGTAACTCCAGGCCCCGGACGTGCACTACGACAGTGGAACCTACTACCTGTACTATGCCAGCTCCACGCTGGGCAGCCAAAGCTCGACGATCGGGGTGGCCACCTCGACGACGCTGGAGGCGGGCTCGTGGACGGACCACGGCACCATCGGGCTGACCTCGTCGTCGGCCAACACGTACAACGCGATCGACGCCAACTGGGTCTCCATCGGCGGCACCGGGTACCTGCAATGGGGCTCGTACTGGCACGGCCTCTACCAGGCGCCCATGACCAGCTCGCTGCAGATCAGCTCCTCCACCCCGACCAACCTGGCCTACAATGCCTCGGGCAACCACGCCATCGAGGCGTCGTACCTCTTCGAGTACGGGGGCTACTACTACCTCACCTTCTCCAGTGGTCAGGCGCAGGGCTACACCAGCGGGCTCCCGGCACAGGGGCTCGAGTACCGCGTCGTCGTTTGCCGGTCAAAGACGGGGACGGGCAACTTTGTACGTTCACTACTCTTTCTCTTTGGGCCCGATCGTTCCGTGAGGTCATGAAGACTCAGGCAATTGCTAACACCGCCCAAAACAGGTCGACAAGAGCGGCGTCGCATGCACTAACAGCGGTGGAACCACCGTCCTCGCCAGTCATGACTACGTCTACGGACCCGGTGGACAGTGAGCTTCCCTTTTCTTTTTGTCTTTCCCCCGCGGCCTCCGAGATCCGATCCGAAGCCTATTCCCCACATCCTCCACCCCACCCCAGCCCACCCCATATCCACAATGGCACCCATACATCATGATTGCATTACCATGTGAACGAACACATACTAACCGGAGGTGCACTTCAAGGGGCATCGTCAACACCACCAACCACGGCATCGTGCTGTACTACCACTACGCCAACCCCAACATCGGCCTGGACACCTCGCAGTACCAGTTCGGCTGGAACACCCTAACCTGGGTGGACGGGTGGCCGACCGTTGCCTGAATTTACAGGCTCATCCGACACAGTATACGTATACCCTTGCTTGCTTGCTTGCATTGTTGTTGCCTTGCACCCATGGGGAGGGTGGGTCGGCGAGAGGCGACCTTTCGAGATCAATCAACAAAACCTTACACAAGTTCACTGGTGAGGGAGCAGGTCACTGCCTTCCGAATTGGGAAAATAATCGTCATGACGTTTTGACCTTCGAAACAAGAATTTCGGTCTCGATTGCGAACGGACGACGGCGCTTGTTGGCTGGATTTCCCCATGGGATTAGAGTGGAATCTTCCCCGGGGTGTGGGTATGAGGAGACGAGGGGGTGGGGGGGGGGTTACACTTTTCCTTTTTCTTCTTCAATTTCTGCATATATTTTGGTATAATTTTAGTACCCCGGTTCGAGTGAATATATTTCGCATATATGGTTGCATGCATGTCATACCGTTGTCCCGGTCTTCCAGAATAGATTTTTTATTGGATTGGTGAAGTCATTCTGTGAGTAAGAAGAGGGCACAGGATGAGTCGAGCAATAGCAATAGCAAAATACCCCATACAAGTCCCACGAAAGGGGCGAACCGGCAAACCGTTATGCCTGGGGAACCAAAAAAAATCAACCCTACCAGTAGGGAGGACGACTGGGAGTGAGGTTAGTCATGATTCCAATCCGGACAAGTAGATCAGCCCGGACCAAACATCCAGCAAACAAAGAAATACTGACAGCAAATACAAACAACCCAGACAGATGAGACACTAATCTCCCAAAAATTCTTGATGATGTAGCGTAGCGTAGGTAGCCTTTTCCGCACCCTGCCTAGCCGCTCCGTACCTGAATATCTGCTGCTGCTGCTGCTGCGCATTCCCCTGGATATGGATAGGTATGGTATGGTATGTATGCCGCGGCCCGCGACGCGGTATGCAACCATGGACTCAGACCCAAAATCCGGGAGTGCATTTTCCATCCCCCCTCCCTGCCCTTTGGGAAGTGCGATTTCAGGGGTGGGCTGGACTTTTACTTGGTGGTTCTTTAGGGGTTGTGCCTTTGTTTTAGTGAAGCTCGAGTCTGATTCTCGGTTCTGGACGAGACTGGGCTTGACTTTAGACTTAGCTCTGAGCTTGACTTTAGACTTAGCTCTGGGCTTGACTCTAGACTTGACTCACTCTAGATGGTAAGATTCCAGACTGGATGCTTCAGATCTCCCGTTTCGGATTTCGAGATCGCGGGATGGCATCAAGAAGGGACTATATGAGCGTTTGCTGCGAGAGGAAGACTTTGCATTAGAGGTTTACGGTTTTACTTTCGTTCATTGTTTGCAAGTGGTAGCAGCCCCCCCAACACCAACCCCTGTTGTTCTTTGTGTGATGGAAACTTTCGGGTGCAGTAACGTTACTGGATGCAAGGGCAGACAGACTCGGGAATGATCTGACGGGTCAGATTGTGCTGGGTGTACTGGACGTAGTTACAGTCCAGTATTAAATAATCAGGTACAGTGAGGGTTTGTGCTAGTCGGATGTGGGTTGGTTTGGGGGGGGTCTTGTTGTTTTATAGGGGCGTTTAGTTGAGCACTCCGATTCTAGCTTGATGGAATTGGTTGATTCGGAAACCCGATCACATGATATGGGATTATATGTGGTGTTGTAGTGTTGGTCATGGGGCCTTGTTGATGCCATCACTTACCGTAGCTAGTGTCTAGCATCCCCTATCCTTATCACTTAGGTTGTTCCGTGTGATGTGTGTACTATATAACCCACATAGCAGAAGACGCCCAGCGATGATTGGCCCTGCATCGAAGATGTACAGCGGCCAACAGTCAAGCTTTTGTTGAATCATAGGATAACTTCTAGAAAGCCCTATTTACCCATGTTCTCGAAGAGAAAACAACAAGACATCAAGTTTCCGTGCTCTAGCTCTGAATGAGAAGCATTCCGACTCTGATCCCACGACTAGCTAGCAGATATACTACAGGGACAGACAGAGCATAAGAACCAAAGCAAGGAAAGGGGTAGGGCCAATCGCGCCACGGAAATAAGTACAGTACAGGATAGCACTCAGACAAACTCATCTCCTCGCCCAGTCTCAGAGACGCGAGTCCAGCATAAACCATCACAAAACAACCATCAAACCATACGCCAGCCATTTTCCGCCGCCGTCAAAACCCTACAACCGCACATCATCAAAATACTTCCTCCCCTCCTCGCCCAACAGCCCCGCAACGACCTCCTCCAGCTCGACCTCCCCCCGCACCACCCGCACATCGTGTCTCTGCTCATACTGCTTATGCATCACGCCCCCCGGCAGGAAACTCAGCGTCATCTCCACGAACGGCCCGACGGCAGTCTCCGGCAAGAACCGCCCGAAGTACTCCGTCAGATCCTCCTTCGCGACGGGGCGCAGCTCCACCTCGCGGCCCAGCACCTTGGCGAATGCCCGCTGCACATCGACGGACGAATATTCGCGCGGCCCGTGCAGCTCGAACACATACGGCGATGATCCTGCCCGGTCCGTCTCGGTGGACAGAATGCATTTCGCGCTGTGGTAGCCGATGTCTTTGACCGCGACCTGGTTTCCGGGCGTTAGCACCCTGCCTGCCCCTACCTTCCTTTTTTAGCATCAGAATGGAAAGGAGGGGACCTTGCCATGGGCACCTCAAACTCCACCGGCGTGATCACCGTCTCCAGAAACGGATGGTCCTTGTGCCGCACCTCCTGCACCGCCGTCGCCCAGTTCTCCATGAAGTACGCGCACCGCATGATCGTCACCTCGGCCGCGGCGTCGCGCAGGATCACCTCCGAGATATGGTTCGTCATGATTTCGCCCTGCCTCCCTCCCCATCCATTCAAGGATCGTAGGCTCCGTTAGCTGGGTAGCTCTATTCAATCCTCAATCCACCCTCCAAGCTGACCACAAAACAGCACCAGGATGAGAGGCAAGCAAAGGAAAGGGGAAACGCACCGTGCCCGCCCCGATCTCCGCCCCCAAGCTCGACAGCAGCACCAGCCGCCGCACGGTGCCGGAGCGCTGGATCGCCAGCCGGATGTTCGTGGACACGGTCGTGGCCCACTCGTCGAGCGGCGTGCGGCCGTCCAGGCACGGCGGCAGCACGAAGAAGACGGTGTCGAAGCCGTGGAAGTTCAGCGTCGCGGGCACGGTCAGGTCGCCCGGGTAGGGGTCGAAGTGCGGGTGGTTCTGGAGGGCTGGGGGCACGCGATGGAAGTTGCGGTACAGGCCGCGGATGTAGTTGGTGTCTGGGTGGGCGAGGAGGGCGGTGATGGTTGCTTGGGCGGTTTGCGGGGAGGCGGGGGCTATGAGGATGCGCATTTTCCCAGGGGTTATGGGTCTGTGGTTGGTTATGGGTGTTGTTGTTTAGTTGGAGGGAGTGGTTGGAGTTATACGGGTGTAAATGATGTATGGAGTCGATGGCTACACTTTTATACGGAGTTAAGTAGGTGGTGATGATGCATGGGCTGCATTGTTTGGGATCGGGATACGAAGAGCACTGCGGGGAAGTATCGGGATCATTGGGTACCGTTCTGCTGCATCCGAGATTCGAGCTACTCGTCCGTGAACCCTAATCGATGACACTTCTCCTGGACACTAGACATTGTAGATGAATGGGTTATACGAGTTCAGGACAGCAACAACTGGCAAGCGACCTCGATGATCTCACCGACCCGGAGTCTAGCCCCAACGCAGTCTAGTCCACCCAGCGATCACGCCATCGTCCACGTGATCCCCGCTGACTAACGCCGACCATCGGCCCTTGTTCCGGGGTTGTGATGGAGGATGGATGATGAGCACCCCTCATCAGCTGCACTTATCCTCTCCATACTCTCCAGAATAAGTAGCAATGTTCCGCCAGAGTATCCGCCGCTTCGGCACGACCGCTCTCCGCGCCGCGGAAGCCTCCTCATCCACCACCGCGGCCGCCGCCTACAACGTCCGGGTCTCGCAGACCCAGGGTGTCGCCAATGGTCTGACGCAAGGTATGTGTACATGTACTCCGTACTTCCGGCGGCCGCCTCTTACCCCAACCCAACACATAACCAACTAACAAACCCCCCCGCGACAGCCATCGGCAACACGCCACTGATCCGGCTGAAGCGCCTCTCCGACGAAACGGGGTGCAACATCCTGGGGAAAGCGGAGTTCCAGAACCCGGGGGGCAGCGTCAAGGACCGGGCGGCGCTGTTCGTGGTGGAGGACGCGGAGCGGCGGGGGCTCCTCCAGCCGGGGGGCACGGTGGTGGAGGGGACGGCGGGCAACACGGGGATCGGGCTGGCGCACGTGTGCCGGTCGAAGGGGTACAAGCTGGTGATCTACATGCCGGACACGCAGTCGCAGGGGAAGATCGACCTGCTGCGGCTGCTGGGGGCGGAGGTGCACCCGGTGCCGGCGGTCGCGTTCGACAACCCGGCCAACTACAACCACCAGGCGCGGCGGCACGCCGAGGCGCTCGACAACGCCGTCTGGACGAACCAGTTCGACAACACGGCCAACCGCCAGGCGCACATCGAGACCACGGGCCCGGAGATCTGGGCCCAGACCGCCGGCGGCCTGGACGCCTTCACCTGCGCGACGGGCACCGGGGGCACGCTCGCCGGCATCACGCGGTACCTGAAGACGGTGAGCGACGGCCGGGTCCAGTGCTTCCTGGCCGATCCCCCGGGCTCCGTGCTGCACAGTTACATCCAGAGTGGCGGCACCTTGGTCGAGCGGTCGGGCAGCAGTATCACCGAGGGCATCGGGCAGGGCCGGGTGACGGACAATCTGTCCCCGGATATCGGGCTGCTGGATGGGTCGTTGAATATCCCCGATGAGAGGTCGATCGAGATGGTGTATCGCTGTCTCGATGAGGAGGGGCTGTACTTGGGCGCCAGCTCGGCGCTGAATGTCGCTGCTGCGCATGAGGTCGCGCTCAAGCTCGGGAAGGGCAGCACCGTCGTCACCGTCCTGTGCGATGGCGCGTACCGCTACGCCGACCGTCTGTTCTCTAACTCCTGGCTGCAGGGTAAGGGGCTGCGCACGGCGGTTCCCAAGCACTTGGAGAAGTATATTGTGCTGCCCTAGGTGGGGTGTGTTTGTATAGTAGAGTGTGTGCATGTGAATAGATAACGAATCATGTTTTGTTCATCCGGTGTATCGGTGGGGAAATAGTAATACTATACAAGAGTAGTGAGTCCATAGACCAGACAAAAGCAGCCGCAGCAGACAATAAAAAAAAAGAACGAAGAACGAAACGCCATCATGCACCCATTTCTATCCCGAAGAAAAAACGTAACGCCAACCCATGTATGGAACATGTACAAGTAGCAGCCACCACCACCACCACCACCACCCGCTCCATCACCCCCATCTTTGAAAAGAGAGTCTAATCATCATCCGCCGGCATCCGCATATAAGCATCAATGGCGGCACTAAACGCCGCGAAACCGGCACACCCCGCCGCAGCAGCCTGGGGCCCGGCCTTGGCCCCCAGAATCCCGCCGGTGATGCACCCCGCCGCGACGCTGTTGGTGAGGTCGTTCTTGGCCCGCAGGCCCTCGATGCAGCACTCGGTGCCCGAGTAGAGCGCGCCCACGATGCCGAAGTTCTTGGCCGACGACCACGAGCGCGAGCCCATGTCCTTGAAGCCGCGGCGGACCTGTTCGCGCCAGGGGAGGTCCATGATCGCTTTGCCTTGGGGGGTGAAGGTGGAGTCGTAGGACATCTGTTGGATTCGGTTGTTAGTGGTTGTTGGGTGGTGTTAGGGGCTGAAGGCTGCGAGCTGAGGCTGAGGCCGAGGCTGAGAGATTGACAAAGCAATCCCATCCCAGTGTCCCGTCTAGCCCTTTCCGACTTCCTCGCAAGGATATATGTGTGAATGGGGTAGGGGTAGGAGGAACGAGAGGCAAAACATACACTAGCCATAAACAAACCGAACACACCACCCAGACCGAAACCCATCGTACCCGAGATGACCGTCTTCACGGGGCAGGATTCCATCGCGCCGTACATCTGCATTTTCGGAGGATTCAAGTCAGTACCCCTTGTCTTTTTCTTTCTCTTTGAGAGGGACTCGTTTTCAAGTCAAGCGTACCAGCTTCACCATCGCTTGCTCCTGCTCGCTCATGCCCTGCATGTTCGGGCCGCCGCCCATCCCTCCGAGGGGAGGGGTCACGCTGGGGAAACTCATGCTGTGCGTGGTCGAAGTGGATGAGGTGTTGACTTAAGGTACTGGAGTCAACGGTGGAGACAGCTGATATGACAAAGTGAGGATGGAGGGAGTGGATGGTCGATACCGAGCTCTCTATCGCGCCCCGGACTTTTTGCGGAGACGGAGTGGCGGCCCTCGCGCAAATTTATTCACGGCGCGCCGTTGCGCCCACTCGCGCAGGTTGCACGTGATACCAGCTGGAAAGGAATCTATACTCCGTACTCCGTACTCCGTGCAGGACTCTACAAACGACATTGGCGCAGGAAATACTCGGTAAATCATACGGTATATTTGTCAAATCATTTGTATCAGCTATATCTAACAGACAACAGTCACGGCCGTATATCCAAAGCCATCAAAGCCAAAATGAGTCAACGAGTGAAAGAATGTAATAAACGCTCATCGTAAAGGGTATTGCGATCAACAATCATAACCCTGCGTAAATCCGTACTGGCTTCATGTCCGATGGCTGCAGCCCATCGTCTACCGTTCGATTCAAGATCCAGGGCGCAAGCCTCATGTGCTGTATTTACAATGTGCCGGAATCAATCCCGCTTGTCGTCCTTGTCGGGGAAGATTTCCCTCCTCTCCGGCGAGGGACTCAGACTGCGCTCCCACTCCGCCATCAGGTTCGACGCCGTGCGGGTCAATTTCGACGGCGCCATTTTGGTCATCGCCGGCCAGGGAATCCCGTCGGAAACGCTGGGATCCGGAATGCTGGTATCGTGCAGCGGGCGCCAGTCGCCAAAGCTAGGTGGTTTCCGTCAGGATGATACCCTTCAAAAATGGAAGACAAAACTTACCTGGCGCTGGTGCGGGGGCTGCTGTTCTGCGTCATCGGCGACTGGTCATGCTTCGTCTCCAATGTGCTGCGACTGGACGACGGCGTGTGCGTCTTCTTCGGCTTCGGAGACTCCCACTCCCAGTTGTCTTCAACGTCCGGGGGGTTACTGTGGTCGCCCCATCGGGGTTCGTTCGGCCCGCTTGGGGTAGTGGCGGCTCCGCGAGCGCGAGGGGACTTCTGCCCAGGTGGATCAATGCCGAATTCACTCCAGAACGACGAATCGATATCCGCCGATTTAGAGTCTTTACCAGAATATTTGCCCCCAGACCCCTTGCTCCCCGAGGAGGACCGCGACAGCGTAGCCCCTCCGTAGACCGACAACCGATCCCGACTGCGCGATGTCGAACTGGACGATACCCGCTGGCGCACCGGCGGCACACCCCGCGACTCGGTCGCACTGATTCCCTCTTCTCCCACCGTAGCTTGTCGAATGTCCTCCAAGAACGTCCAGAGTCCTTCCTTCAAATCCGATGCCATCTGCTTGCCGGTCCGCACGAGGGCATCGCGCGACGGGGGCGGCATGGTGTTCCGCCACTGCGAAATCATGTCATCTGCAGGTTTCGAGCTCACGCCACCCGCAATGGCATTGCGATCGACAGAAGAGGGTAAAGTCGCCGACCGCGGGGACCGACCGATCCGTTGGCTCCCAGCCTCCAACTCTGGCCCCGTCTTGCTTTCCCCAGATCCCGTCGTTGGGGAAAGCAAGGACAGGGCCCGAGTGTGGGAACCTCGGAAAACTCGTCGGCCGTTGGCAGAAACGTTGGTGCCCTTGGTCGCGGCCGCGCGGAGGCTCTGCCGCCGCTCCAGCTCCCGGCTGAGGCGGACCTGGGCCGCCGACGAGCTGCCTGCACTGCTCACACTGTGGTCTCGGCGATGTGGGAAAGTGGGCTCGTCAGGGGATCGCAGGGAGACCAACGGCTCGGCGCGATGGCTGATCTCCGTGCGTTTCTTTGTCTTCTCGGTCGACGCCCACTGCTTTTTCAAAGAGTCCAGCTCCGTCTCGGCCCGGTTCAGCTCTTCCCGAAGCTCCAGTACTTTTCTCTCCTGAGAGGCGATCGCGGTCAGCAGGCCCGAGCCGTCATCCTTCTCCTCAAACGCCAGCGGGGTTCCGAGATGGGGGGCCGGCGAATGATGAGCGGAGGTCCGTGTCACGGGCGTCATCGATCCGGGAGACGCAAGACTAGGGTCGTAAGCTTCGGGTCCGGAGGGGATGTTGATGGGAAAGTTGAGGGTGAGTCGCTTGGCGTGTCTGGCAGCACCATGGGGGCGAGGTGGGAGGGAAGATCGCTTGAGTTGGGTGGGAGTCCGGCCGGTCGGCGATGCAGGGTGAGGGTGATGGTTGAGCTGGTCAGGCGACGATGGCAGCAGCTGCGCTGTTTGGGACGTTTCCGGCGCAGTTTCCGCCTCGCCCGTTCCCGGGAAATCCCCCATGACGGGCCAGCGTATGGAGGTCGTGCGCGAAGCTGATCAGAGTTCGGGATTTTTTATTGACAGATCAAGAGCGTATTCATGACATTCATTCCCTTGGAATTGGGAGAAGAGGGGAAGAGGAGAAGAGGAGAGAAATGCGAGGCCCACCGCCACAGTCGAGGGGAATTGCAATTGTTGGCTGATAAGAAAAGAATGTATGTACGTATGTATGTATGTATGTATGGGCCCGTCAGCAGTGATAAACAATCACAATCATCAATGACAACAATAACAACACAAAGGACAGTGGGCAGCAACCAGAATGGACACGCAACGGAAAGACAATGGGATTAAAAGCAGAGAAGAAAGGGAGAAGAAGAAAGGAGAAAAGGAAGCGAGGGAAAGTTTAGACAGAGTAGGTAAGGGAAGGGAAGGACTAGACCCAACACGGGGGGGGGGCTCGTTGGGTGAGTGAAGTTCAGTTCACTTAGTAAAAGACGGTGATTTCGGTAGCGGGTCGCAACGCGCATCCCTTCCGCCTCCGCCTCTTCCAGTTCCCGTCTCAGGGGAGAGGGAAATTATGAGAGAGAGAGAAAGAGAAAGACAGAGAGCATGTTCTTTGCCACTCCGTAGTGACGTCTGCCTTGGCATAATTTGCACAGATTAGTGTACCCAAAAGATATCTAGGTACTCGTAGTACAGTCCCAAGACATGCATATCTTGAAAAGCAATGCCACCAGGGCAAACTGCAAATTGCAAACTGCAAACGGAGTATCACGATAAGGATCATCATGTGGTTGACAGACAGCCCCCAAGCTGAAACCGCCAAATACTGCCCAGCACGAGTCGCTCCACGCGGGTGGCCAGTTTGATTACTCCGTCTATCTTTACCTGCTTCTGGCCCTCCCCTGTCTTTATTTCCATAGCAATGAGGGGGGGTTGTAAAATTGCCCAATTGCATTACTATGTCCACAATTTCATATACACGCACGCATGCAAGAATCAACTTCGCCTTAGTTACAAATCCCACCAATTATTATCTCACACCTTGCCAGAAAATTGTCCAACAAGAATAAACAGATGCAGACACACAAGGAGAACCTATGACAAGAAAAGAATGAATAGTAAATCACAAGCTCGCCAGAATATCGGCTTCGCAGAAATATAACCAGTAAAAGTTCTGAACGCCGGAACCGAGCCCTATCCGACTGTCAATTGGTACATAGGAAATTATAGTCGTTGGTTGACCAAATATCACAAACGCAAAGAGATCCGATGTCAAAGAGAGGCCACGGTGCCCTCATGGTCGGTCTCTCGCCAGACGAGACGAGTCTGGAGTATATCGTCGTCCGAAACTGTCTCCTTTGGGTCTGGTTGACCAGCAGCAGACCCGAAGTGCGAGAGATTAGGACCCGTGTATCGACAGGCCATGTGAGCACAAACAATACCAAGTGAGGGGGAATAATGCAACAATGAAGGAAAAGAAACAGCGCATAGAAAGAAAAGACCGCGAGCGGCCAGGTGGCCGAATATTTCAACGCCTCATGTGAGCCCAAATCTTTGTACAATGATAAATCTGTTGTCTCGCGCTGAGATTCGTGGGGTTCGAGATCTCCAGATCGCAGTATGCAAGGGGTTGAAGGAAATGCAGCGAACCAATTCTAGATTCCGGGCCATCGGTTGCGCAGGCCTTCGGACCAACGCTGATAGAGCACGTCTGACAACTGCTTGGTGTGTTCCATCCCCGGCACCTGTTGCCCGGGGAGGTTTGCGAGCTGGGTGGGTTGAAGGCTAGGCTCGGCCACGGCGGCGCTCTGGCGGCGCCGGTGGGATTTGAGGTGTGGGTTGCTCTGCGCCAAAACCAGTCGCGGCCTCTGTGGGGAATCGCCCGGTGGAGCTGCGGGTGGGACGAGACTGGCCAGCTTCGGGTCACTAAACCATCCACCAACACGAGCGTTGTTAGCAACCCAGAAACTTTATTTGACAAGTACTAGTACTGCAGCGGAGGCACGGAAGGCACGCTTACCTCTGTAGCTTCTCCGTCGTCGCTCGGAGGATATGATAGAGTCCCTCGGGATCGACCATCTCCAGATCACTCCAGGCCTCCGCCAGCCGTGAAATCGCTTCCCGCTTCTCTTGGTCGCCCGTGGTCCCCAACACTTCCTGGCAGGCGAGCCCGACCGCCTTGCTGTACGCCCGACGCCCCAGTTGTGCTTCCTTGCTGTTCGGCTCGGAGAATAGCGTCTTCGGACTAGCATTTTCATCCCCTCCGAAAAGGTACTGCGGCGGGTAAGATGCGTCGCTGGGGCTCTTGTTGTCCGACACCCGACGGAACTGCCGCACCGTCGATGGGCTGTTGCCGAAACTCATATCCACTCCGAGAGGCTGCTTCACTCCACTCGACCGTCGCTTGGCCCGTCGAATTGATGGGCTGTGGTCGGGAGCTTGAGTTCGTCGTACTGCGGTGTTGGTCGCATGCTTTGACGGAGGGCTGGACACATAAAGATCGTCCATCATGTCGGCGGTTTCGTCGAAAACCCAGTCTTCCTGTGGCTCGGGCTCGGGCTCATTCTCCTCGTCGTCTTCGACTTCACGTATAGTCGTTGTAGAAGCTTTCACCGTGTCGAAAATCCACCCATCGTCGTCGTTCAGGTTCCGAATAGTATTCCTGTGCGACAGAAACAGTCAGTGGGAAGAGCATGGGCAATGGAACCTGGATTTGCATACAGCGACTCCGCATAATACTTAATCTTGTGGGTCACTCCTCGTCCAGCATCGAAATCCTGCTTGCGATGAATCAACTCTTGTAGTGCCTCCGTCTTTCCCGCATTGCGAATGAATTTGTGCCGTAGAAGCTCCTTCGCGCTCGGTCGCCGATCGGGATCTTTGGTCAAACACTGTGTGATGAAGTCCTTGAATGTACTGCTGTACTGATCTCCCTGTAGGCGCGGGGCGGGTTCTTTGGGAATAAGGAAGAGCACCTTCATGGGGTGGGTGCTCGCATGGGGTGGCTCGCCGTTTATCATTTCGATTGCAGTAATTCCGAGCGACCAGATGTCCGCCTTATAATCATACCCAGACTGTTGAATGACTTCCGGGGCCATCCAGAATGGTGTTCCGACAAATGTGTTGCGCTGGGATTTGATGTTGATCAATTGCGCGGCAACCCCGAAATCCGCTAGCTTCACTTTGCCCGTGTGCGACAGAAGTACATTGGCGGCTTTGATGTCGCGGTGAATCTTGCCTTCGCTGTGCAGGTAGTCGAGTCCGAGTAGCAGTTGTTGGCAAATAATGGCGACGTGTGCTTCGTTGAAGACTCCGGGTTTGAGCTAGAGAGTATTAGCGGAGGGGACGGAGCTGAGCTGACTCCTCAGCTGGCTGCGGAGGTGCTGGGTGGGTTCTTACCAGGTCCAGACACGATCCTCCACCGAGGAATTCCATGACAATCCACAACTTATGTCCTCGAAGAAAACTAGCCTTGTATTGCGTGACGAATGGACTGGCGCAGGTGGCAAGAACCGAGATCTCCTGCTGGATTTCCTGAATATCATCTTCGCTGGACTCGAGATCGATCTAGAAAGGCCGAAAGTGGTCAAACGGACGATCGGACAAAGAAAGAGACCAGTCACACGCACATGCTTGATCGCTACGATCTCGCCCGTAGCCTTGTCAATGGCTTTGTATACCGTTCCAAAGCTACCACCTGTAGCATTCTGGTCAGCCGTCATCGGCGCAATGGGCTCAATTGGAAGGCAAAGACTTACTGCCCAGCTCTTCCATCATCTGGTAGTGACTTGCCATATCGTCCTCCATTTTTGTCGCGTGCAAGCCGTAGCTGGAGGGCTATCGGCGCAGGTGAAGAATCTGGGAGAGATAGCTCAGAGAAACAAATAGAAAAGAGAAGGGGGAAAGAAGCAAAAAAGAAGAAAAAGAAAAGAGAGGAGAGCTAAAACAGGGCACACAAGGGGGGGCACCCGCACTGCCAGTCAGCTATTTATTTCCTGTCCGGCGAAAGGACGGATGGAGCTGGAGCTGGAGCTGGAGCTGGAGCAAGGACGAGTGGAACCTGGCCCTGTAGATAGAGGATAGAGAAATGAGGGGGAAAGAAGTGGGAAGATAGCGAGTGCTTCGATAGGATCGATACCTCGACTACTACAACCGTCCTCTCAAAGTCTCAGCCTAGTGACCAGAAAGTGCCCCATTCTTTTCTACTACTGGCAGCCGCTCCTCTTCCATGGTACGCGGCAGAGACAACAGGCGGCGGTAGTGCATGGCAACCATGGATCAGCTACCGAGTCACCGCCTCGGGCACCGCAGGACCGCTGGTATTTCCCGGCCTTGATTGGGTGCAAAATTCCCCGTTTACGGCTGTTGCCTCAGGCACGACTGCAAGACCGCAACCCGCAGTACCCCAGCCCTGCATGGTGCAAGTGATGCAGATGGGGCATGCAGCCCGCCAGGTACGGGGAGGTCAGCAGGACTTCATCGGTATGGAGAAATATGATCCAGCAAATTAAATATCCGCTTTGGTATATTTTACAGATTCCTCAGACTATAAACTTGGTCCAGCTCTTCCCACCCTCAAACCCCTCTGCAACACATTTACAATTCATCGCGTGGTGCCAGGGTAGCGTGTCCGGTTCTAGATATACTTATACGGGTTCATGATTCCGTTCTGTATCGACCAGCCAGTTAGTTTTAGTCCCAAAGCACAATGCAAGAAAATCAACAGGGAGTCATGATCCTTACCGGGTCATACAAGTTCTTCAACTGCTTCATCAACTTCACCATCGTCTCATTCTGGCTGTATCCGATGAATTCCTTCTTGGCCAGACCCAGGCCGTGTTCTGCGCTGATGCTACCTTTGCGCTGCTGGATCCACTCATACACCCAAGGCTCGATGGCCTTCTCGACTTCCTTGTTGTACTGCCGCACAGAAATGTTCAAGTGCAGGTTGGAATCACCCATGTGACCATAGCCGACAACGGCCCGAACAGGGAAGGAATCGTCATCTCCCACGAAGCCAAGCTTCGTCAAACGCTCCTTGCAGTCCTCAACCAGCTGGTACAGCTCGGGCAGAGGAATGGAGACGTCATACTTGTAGGTCCCGCCCAAGTGGCTCAAGGCCTCCGTAATACCCTCTCTCCACCGCCAGATCGAGTGGAATTGAGTCTCATCCTGAGCCAAAACACCATCCGCGACAATGCCCTCACCCATGACGTGTTCCAAGAAGGTCTCCAGCTTAGCCATATCATGCTCAGCGTTAGAACCACTGGTCTCCACCAGACAGTAGAAAGGATACTCGGTTTCGAGGGGATAGTTGTTGCCAGTCGACTCGTGAACCAGCTTCTGAGTGCGCCCATCCATCAACTCGAAAGCGGAAAGGATTTCGGACAGGTGTCCCTTGGCCTCCTGGTAAGCCTTGCGGACCTGGTCATAGCTCTCCACTCCGAAATACGCGACGTTAACGGCCTTGGGGCGAGAAGGACATTGAATAGAGACCTTCGTAATAATGCCAATGGTACCTTCGGCGCCAATAAACAGTTGCTTCAAGTCATAGCCAGTGTTGTTCTTGCGCAGGGTCGACATAGCATCCACGACGGTTCCATCTGCCAGCACCGCTTCAACACCAAGCACAGTACCGTGGAGACTGCCATAGCGGAGCAGACGCAGACCACCGGCGTTGGTGGCAACGTTACCGCCGACATGGCATGAGCCCTTAGCACCCAGGTCCAGCGGGAAAAGGTGGTTCCGCTCGGCCAAGTACTGGTCAGCTACCTCCAGGATAACACCAGAGTCAACCACCAAGACTCCGGACGCTTCATCGAAGGAGTGGATCTGGTTCATGCGGGAAAGGTTGATGACGATCTCGTCGAAGACGGGCACGGAGCCTCCGACTAATCCCGTGTTGCCTCCCTGGGGCACAACAGCCAACTTCTTCTCATTACAGTATTGTAGCACCTTGCTAACCTCCTCGGTGGTCTGGGGCTTCAGGACCAACTTGGTCTGGCCACGGTACTTGCGCATCCAGTCGCTGTTGAAGGGTTCGATATCATCAGCGTTGTCGGCGGTCACTCCATCGATCACGGCGGACTGTGCGCCCAGCAACTCCTTGAAGAATTTGACATCGTCGGCAGAGATTTCGGCGAACTTCGGGTCACGCTTGAGGTTGGGATAAGCATTGGTGGTGTACTGAATCTCCTTGGTCGCATTGGCGCTGGCGGTAACAGTGAAGGTGCGTGTGGCGGCGAAGGAGGGAGTCTGGACCGCAGCGACAGGGCGGAACAAGCAGCGAGGCTTGGGCACACGAGCCCTTCGCAGAGCGACTGAAATATTCCTGGCACCGGACATGGTGGGGTGTGGAGTGGGAGGTGAGGGAGAGGAGAAAGGCACTGGAAGAGTCAATAGAGCGGCGAGCGGCGAGCGGCGAGCGGCCATCTAAAAAGCCTAACTTACCCCCCGATGGCGGAGATGGAGTCGTCGTCTCGGCTTGAAGTCAGCGGCGCCGAACGGTCTTTCCGTCCCGACGGATGTCGTGGCCTCAGGCAGAGAAAAGGTCCGATCCGCGGGAACCTGAATAGTAATTAATCACTTGCCACGAACTGCAGTCGGTGGTCGATAGAGTTAAGTAGTGGGTAGCTTAAACTACTCTGTTCTCTAAGTTAATTCAACGAAGTATATGCAGTATATACCCGACATATGTCAGAAGTAGAACCACGTGGTAAATTCCCAGTAGAAGCTATCCAGCTTGAGCCAGTCGATTCTCAACAAGGTGAGCACTCGTACTCTTGTCTGTACTGTACCCTCGTCGTCACATGGTGATCCTCCTCCATCTCAACGATCCATTGATTGACCAGTGCTCAATCGGGATCTGATCACGCCTACCAAGGGCGAGGGGCAACAACAAGCGACAAGCATCATGGCTGCCAGGTGGAAGCCCAACGGTCCTTCTGCAGCGATGCCTGTTGAGGGAAAAGAGCGACAAGCGTCGCCAAGCCCGTCCGTCACTGGACGTTTGTGTCATCTCCCTCGTCATCCTCGATCAATAAGCCGATGCAGTAACAATAATAGTACTCCAGGGTACCTGATCAGTGATCACAGTCGCCGCAGAGGACAGCTCTCCACGAATCCACCGCCCATCGACCTTCCTCGACCCTCATCGAAGCATCGAACCAGCGATTCCTCGATCCAGACCCGATCTCGTCTCCCTTCGGTGTGTCTTTTCGAGTGAAACCACCACGCGGTTCTTGTTACGTCATTACAGGTGCCCCGCAGTCGACCAGAATCTCTTCTTCCTCGTCCCAGCTTCTCAAAGCTCGATTCTTTTCCATCATGTCCTCTTCTGACAACCCCATTGCAAACATGTCTACCTGTGTTCTTGTTACCGGTGCCACTGGCCTTTTGGGCCGCCAGGTCTTCAATACTTTCAAGCACTCCGGATGCCTCGTCGTCGGCCAAGGCTACTCACGAGCCATCCCACCCACGATACAGAAGGCTGACTTGGAGAACCCCGATGCGATCAAAGCTCTCCTTGACGAGGCGAAGTAAGTTTTTCTGCCCGGAAGCTGTAATCTGTGCACCACAATTTCTCTAGTGGAATTCAATGCCAATACTGACCTGTTGTAGGCCTCAGATCGTTGTCCACTGTACGTGATGCCAGGCTTGCAAAAGCAACTGATTTGTCCCTGCTTGGATTCTGACCTTTGCAGGTGCCGCCAACCGGTCTCCCGACTTGTGCGACAAGAACCCTGAGCAAGCGCGTCGAGTCAACGTTGACGCCACCCGCGTTCTCGCCGAGGAAACGTCGCGCCGTAGTATCCTGCTCATCTACATCTCGACCGACTACGTTTTCCCCGGAATTGAGGGGGAAGCCCCGTACGAGGCCGATGCGGAGACCAATCCGCCCAATATGTATGGCCGGTTGAAGCGGGATGGTGAGCTGGCAGTACTGGAGGCTACGAAAGAGACTGGTCTTGGGCTGATCCTTCGCGTGCCCGTACTGTACGGAGTGGCCAAGGACAACTCAGAGAGCGCCGTCAACACTTTAATTGATGCGGTGTACAAAGCACAAGATGAGAATGCGGGGATCAAGATGGACGACTGGGCACAGCGGTACCCGACCAACACGGAGGACGTCGCTCGGGTGTGCCGTGACATTGTAATTAAGTATATCAAGGAACGTCGTCGCATCCAAGAGCTGCCCAAGATCTTGCAGTTCTCGTCCGAGGATCGGATGACCAAGTACGAAATCTGTGAGAAGCTAGCGGATGTGCTCGGACTGTCCCTGGTAGGGATGATCAGGAACAAGGAGGGGAATGACCCCAACTCGGCCGTGCAGCGTCCCTACGACGTGCATCTGTCCACTAAGGTGCTGAAGGATCTGGGGATTGAAGTTCGGACTGTGGACTTTGTGGCATGGTGGTAAGTAGACGCCTGACATGTTTGTGTGTATGTGGCGGAATCTAACACTGAATTACAGGCGGAAGTACCTAGGAGCGTACAAGAAATGAGTGACGGCCTAAAAACACCAAGGATTCCAAACGAAAACTGAGGTATAGAGATGCTGGCGGTGGTAAAAAGTCCTTTTGAGGTTGCATCCTAAACGACCGCGATGTCCATGGATTATTGGTTAATCACCGACTAATGAGAAATAGCTCGCTAATAGCATGCAATATTATGTATTATGATGACGCAATATACGTTTGTTTGTGCTTGTGTTGTGCTTGTGTTTGTAGTTGTGTTTTTGCTGTACAGTACTTGTGTTTTAGTGTGCTGTCCAGCAATCAGGAGAAAGACGAGCTGGGTTGAATTTGACACTTTGGGGGTGGCTCAGAAATAGCGCATTTACCGGGGGGGTGAGGGTGGGATGGGACCCGGGCCGGGAAGTAGTCAGTGGTGGTGGCTGAGGCTATGGCATGGCAGTGATCCACTCGGATCTACTAGCCATGACTTCGATTGTTGGTTGATAGACAAACAATCCAGAACTATAGAGTCGATCTCAGTGTGGACACAAAGCATGATCGTATTTATAGTGAACGGAGATCTCATGTCAAAGGCAGATCCTCTATCATTCGAGAATAACCCTGAGCAGAGGCAAGTCTATCTCTGCTAGCAATCCAGTTGACTTTCGTTCCTCACAGTCTGGGGCAATTGCGGGCAATGCTGGGGCCAAGCCTAGCCTGACCGAAAACAGCCGCTCTCTATCTCTATTTTAGTCTAGACCTTTTTTTCTCTTTTCATTTTAATTTTATCAATTTTTCATCTGAATTTTTTGGGTCTCAGTTTGGCTGTCTTTCCCCAGCCGTCATGGAGGATGCTCTTGAGATCACACGAACATTTTAATTAATTTAAGATCTCGAGTTCAGGATCACCTGCCAGCCCAATGGGATCTGTATCCTGACCTATAGTAAAATTCTTATTCATCGGAAATTCCAATCCCTTCCCGTCCCTTTGGAGACTTCTTCCCTTTCGTCTTTGCTACTTCAAAGTTCCACCAAGCCCTTCTCCCCCCTTACATCGAGCAGGTGGTGGTCAAGAAAAGAAAAGAAAAGAAAAAAAGAAAAAAAGAACACCACCCACAGACAATTCAGAGGGGAAATAAGCAAAAAGTAAACCCAGAAGGAAAAAAATAAATACTTAAAATAAAAAAAGGAATAGAAACGGATTTGTCTGAATGCAGCCTATTCGTTTCTGTCCGTCCGTCTGAGTTTGGCATTGCTTCTTCTTCTCAGTTCATCCCTCCACTATCTTTCTTGACTCCGTCCCGCGGTGGAAATTAGACCCTTTCGTTGCGAGGCCGTTTTCCGCTCTCCACAAAAAAGTGCCTGGACAATGCGTTCTGGACGGAATTTAGCATCGTGGTCCCTCAGTTACACTCACCAGCTTCTGTCCAGTGTCTGTTCTCTTTCCTTCCTTTTTCCTTCCTGCCTGCCCACCTACATTCATCACTTCTCCTTCTTGAAACTCCCTCCCCTCCCTCTCCCCGCCCCCCCTTTCTGCGTTCTATTTTTTCTCCAGGAAGAAACAGAACTCTCCTTTGCTCATACTTCCCCCCCCCCACCCTCTCTCTACCCCCTCATTGTACGGGGAAGTTTCCAAGTGAAGCCGTGATTGTATCCCTGTGAAACATGTCTGCAACGTTTAGGGGGTGGAGACACGCGAACACTCATTATTTGACCCAAATCCTTCTCCCTTGTGTCGACTGGATCGACCAGTAGACCCTTTCTGCCTCCCTTGCGAAATCCTGTCCTCTTTTCTCAGTGACTGCTGTCAACACGTTGCTGCAACTTGATCACTTCCGGAACCTTAGCGACTGACCCAGCTGCCACCAACAAACCGCAGGCTGCCTGATATCATCGTCATTGCGGCAGTTGGAGCTAAAGCAGCCAAGTGACTTTTTTTCGGCCTTACAGGGAAAAGAAAAGAGAGCTAAAAGATCCATCGCAATCTAAAACCTGTTTCCAAACGCGCGCCATCGGCTACTTGACGCAATTGACAATCTTCACGCTCTGCGATTTCTCTGTGACCGTGTGACGCCAAAGAACATATGCCTGGGCAGCAATTGAGATACTACCACACTACCAGTATATCTACACTTCATAGATCAGCAGCGCAGAACGGATTTCTTTCCCTTTCCCCCACACTTCGATCAACTACTACTTCTACTACCTTTGGCTCTTTCCCTTTGGTTCTCTGCCTATAATCGCAGTGGGACTCTTTCCCAGCCATGACCATGGAGACACCAGACATGATGTCTGCTGGCCAGCATGCAGCACCCATGAAATTTTCGCGATACCGAAGTGTACGAAAGGCGGCGACCAAGCAGCCACCAGCATTACCACCACCGCCGACTGGAACGTCCAAAATCCACTCCCCGCCACCTCCACTTGCTCACCCGCCAATCGCTGCACTTCCGGCCTCGCTGTCGCATGACCATGCCGCCAACGCCGATGCCGCCGCCGCAAACAATAATAGCAGCACTGCTATTCAAAGAAGCATGTCGCGGTATCGTCGCAGAAACCCGCCGCCTACGCAGCAGCCCTCAGAGGCTACATCACAGCCTCCTTTGCCCACTTCTGCACCCGGCTATAAATCACAGGTAGGAAGCAATGGCACCTCGGTCTCGCAACCTCCGCAGGATCGACCCGAGGAAACAGAAATGGCTCGTATTCGACAAAAGTTGGCCCTAAGACTAGCCACCCGAGAAAAACGGGTCCCCGATGACAGCGAGGACGAAGATGCCGAGCGCCATAGACATCGACAGAATGCAATGGACCGTCTGACTGGAGGTGAGGATGTACCGACTTCCAACCCCTTCGAGACAATCACACACGACAAGCCAGTCAAGGAGGTGCGTGAAAAACGCGCAAACGGAGGAACGGCCGCGAGTCGCCGTACGAGCCGTGAACCCAAGCGACGATCCCTCAACATTGCGACTGCAAAGGCCACTCAAGTCAAAAGTTCCAAGGGCGATTCCTCCGCGAGTAGTCCGACCGAAGCTAGTCCTGTCGCCCAATTCCCCGACGCTCCTGTATCCGCCGTGAATGCACGGGAGCGTCGCGTTTTGGTCCAGTATAGAAAAACCTCAATGAAAGTCTGCGTCAATCCCTCGACATCCGCGCAAGATATCCTCGCCACTGGCATGACTTACATGGCTAAAGGGGAGGACCCCGGGAAGTTCATCTTGATGGAATCTTTCGCCGATTTGGGATTAGAGCGGCCGTTGCGTCGGTACGAATGCGTACGCGATGTGATGAACTCTTGGGCCCACGACGAGCAGAACTCATTGATCATCGTTCCTGCAGCCAGTCTCGATGCCCTTTCTCTGCTCGACGCTCAGAACGTGTCACTTAGCCAGCCTGCGGAGACGACGTTTTACTTGTATTACTCTCAGCGGCCCCGCAAATGGGACAAGCGATATGTTACTCTACGGCCAGATGGACAAATTACAATATCCAAGAAAGAAGGCCAGGAGCAAACAAACGTGTGCCACCTCTCCGACTTCGATATATATTCGCCAACAGCGAGCTCTTTGGCGAACAACGTCAAACCACCGAAGAAGTTCTGTCAAGCCATCAAGAGTCAGCAAAAATCGACGATGTTTTTATCGACCGAGAACTTCGTCCACTACTTCTCCACCAATGACCGAGACATGGCTGATAACTGGCAGAAGGCGGTCCAGACCTGGCGCAGCTGGTACCTGGTCACTATGCTTGGAGCAGGCAAGCCGTCGGAGACGGATAATGCCACATCCTCCGATGAATCAGTAGCAGCTGGGAAGCGGTTTCAGAAGCCTTTATTGAACCCTTTTGAAGAAGCCAGCAATGAGATCAAGGCGCCTGCCCTGCCTCTGGCAGAGCGCACGCAGCCTACAAAGGCCAAGGAATTGTTCTCCCATAAGAAAAGCATCCGCGAGCGTGGACCTCCTCCGACATCGTTTCCCAAACTTTTGACTGGGGAGGCTGATCTTGCTGCAGAGTCTTCTGATGAAGCTACTTTCTCAGCCAGTGGTCTCTTAGGGCGGACCTACACCATGCGCCAACGGGCCATGAAAGAGCGTGAAGAACAAGAAAAGCGCGACAATGAGGACCGCCTTCGTCAGGGCCTCGTGGGCACTATGGGTACCCGCCGTGTCAATACTGGCCCTAGTAGCCGGTCCAACACCATGACATCTACTCACGCACCAGACTTCAGCGCCGTGAAACGGTCCCAGTCCGTCAAAGCAAAGCCTCTAGTGGATTTGACCCCGGTTTATAGCGAACCCCCACAGCATATCCGCAAGGGAAGGGGAGTGACTGTTGACCCGGGCGTCCCCTTGATCGACGCAGCCACTGGCCCCGAAGTCCCAGGAGGCATTCAGATACCGTCGGCTACTACCTGGCGCCGGCCCCCAGTGCCCGCTGAACCGATGTCCGCCGTTGAACCCAGAACTCGTAAACGATCGAACACCGCGCGCAGTATCAATGGTCAACAACGTTACCACCACACCGCCCCTACCACCCCGATCTCTCCCGTGGACCTCGTTTCCGGCCGTGACGGCCCCTTCATACCCCATAGCCTACTGGCTCGCGCTCAACCGGCGCCCGCACCAGGTCCTCCCGTGGGCCATGGCGTGGCAACCGGAGATCGCAATGCCACTAAACCGATGCTGGATATGGCCCCCGAAAACCCTTTCGCCGAGGGAAGCTTGCTTCGGGGCTTGTAGCGGCAATACATACCACTATCCCACTACCATACAAATTACGATTTGAACGGCACTTGAGAATCACTTAGCAATGGCGTTAATACCCTTTCGGCTGGGACTTCGCGTTATCACAGCGATCTAGAATAGCATGGCTCGAACTTTGTGCCTCTTCATTGCCTAGTTCCAATATGCCTTCTGGTTTATGGTCTGAATTTATGGCATGGATTGTACTTCTAGTTATATTTGATCATTATTTGACAATGCTGGTCTGGTGATCGGTGCAGGTCCTTACATCTATATCCATTTATCATTCGATGTACTGAAGTT